TGTTAACAGATACACGCACCTGGCAAACTCCTTTATGGATCTAGCCTATCTTCTTTACCTGGCAACATTAAGTATAAAACACGACACACTATGTCATATCAAAGCTAAGAGTATCTGAACTGCAGACATACGTTTGGAGTTAAAACCCCCAAACTGCACTTCAAGACGTTATGCTCTCAGCAGCCAAAAAGGAAACATAGTACTTTTCTGGAAGCAGGGCACTTGCTACCCTCACAAACCTGCCGGTGGCTGATGGCACAACAAAAAGTGCTTGAGACACAGGGAACCTAACCCCACTCACGGCCCCTAACATGCCCACCACCTGGGCTGCTCTCAGGGAAGCAGGCTGCCCCTTCTCTTCCCCGCCGCAGGCCCGGAGTTACCGGAGCGGATGCCGGAGCCCGAGGAGGCTCCTGGAGAGCTCAGCAAGCAAAGCGGCCAACGGACCGTTTACCCCTTCACACCGCGCTACGGGAACGGCCGAGTTCAACCCAAACGCTGGGAGAGAACGGATGGGGACGACAGTCAGCGAGGCGCTCGCGGCCGCCCAGTTGCCTGTCCCCACCCTCCTTCTCCTCCTCACCATGGCGCCAGAGCAGGCCGGGCAGCCAACGCTGCCCACTGGCAAGAAGAACCGCTAGCGCCCAGCACCCTGATCCTTCTCGCTCTCACGCGGGCCAGCCGTCACCACCGCCGAGTTGCGGTCTCCATCTTGGGATAAACCAGTGACCAACGGGAAGGGGGGGAAATGGTGATAGGCTGCCAGGTCGAGCAGGGCCTTTTGTTACCCAGTAATAAAACAATGAGGATTTCCTCAAATTGAAGTAGTACTTTAATAAAAAAGAAGCTCCGTGAACTCAATCACGGTAATTTCTCCAACCCTCTAGAGGCATATTTTCTCACTCCCCCAAAAAACTGGTGGAGAATGGTACCGCCCTCAGTGGGCCTTATAGGCAGCACGCTTTGCAGTGGACCGAAGGGCTATGCGCGTGCGCAGAGGCAGAGCTGTCACTCGCGGGGCTGGAGGCGGGGTTTAGGGATTGGCGTCACCTCAGCTGCGCCGCGCAGTGCGCGGAGGTGCGGCTGCTGCTGCTGCGGCAGGAGGGCGCGCTGCGCTCTGAGGCGGTGCGGAGCGGAGCGGTTCCATAGGCTCCACAGGAACGGGAAGTTCCCAGCTGGACCTAGAGGAGCAGGGGCTTGTAGCGGCGCGGTTGCCTTGCGGTGCAAGCGAAGGAGGCGAGAGAAGGTTATGTGACAGACGTTAGTCACGTCACTCCACCAAGCGCTCAGGCGCGGCTATAAAACACAATAAAGTTCTATAGAGAAACCGTGTGAGACAGGAGGCGCAGCACAGCAGTGCTGGCCTCTTCAACTAGCTGGGCCACAGGGCACACACACCTTCGCCGTTTGGCTATGCACAAGCTCACATCCAAGCCGAGTTTGAAAGCTTACGTGTAAATAATACGTATTCACATCAACCGTGTTTTGCCATATGTAAGTTCTTAATTCTTGTGCTGTGACACTGTAGCTGTATAAATTACACATATGCCATGCAAGCATGCATAGTCACAAACACACAGGTGCATACATACAAGCTCCCTGCTAAGGAAAGCAGGCTTAGTATTTTAGGAGTAGGACGTGAAACTGTTTTGTTGCATTTCAAAAAGCAAGTGTAAAACACAGAGGGAGCAGCTTCTTCCGTGTGCATTTAGGCAATTAAATCTGTGACAACTATGGAAAGGCTGTTCCTGAAAATTAAGATAGAATTATCCACATTTGATGTGTGTATACGTAAACAGCTATATGTATATGTATACCATAAAATACTAGCTTTAATCATGTTTGCGTGGATTTCATTGTTTTTCAGTAGATGTCACTAAAGCTCCAAAAAAGCCTAGATTTTCAGTCTTCTGTGTGAAATCTCACATCTTTACAATCCAGTTTCATCACATCACTTATGGAAATGACTTCTGTACTCAGAGTAATTAAACCACCTCTGCATAGATTTGTATAAAGGTTAGACCTTCCTTTCCTCTTGCTTCCTGACAGTACAAGGTGAGGTCCTTGTCATCCTGTCACGCACCTTGAAGGTTGTAGTGGTACTGGAAGGTTAGCAACCCTTTGACTGCATGCTGTGAATGGGGTTTTCAGGACTGCCCCTGACAGGAGCAGCAGGGACAGGTAGAATAGGAGATCTAGCTTTTCATAAAGTAGCTGAGAGCAGAATTGCCCAACTGTTAAAGATACATTTATCTGTAGGGAAACCGATTAGATTACTACTCACTGCTTCCAGGTTCCTGAGGTAGCTCTGACACCCATAAAAGTGCCAAGTACTTGTATGTAGATGTGGTAACAGGATTATAACTGGCAATCGCCTAAACGTGATCACCCCCTAACAGTGGCAGTACTGTCATTCCTTGTACACCAAATCTGGTCTAGGAGCATCATACCTGTCTGGAAGTGGGAAAAAGATTGTTTACTCTCAGCTCTGTTGTTAATTGTCTGTTTCATATGTGTAAGCTGAATTTGCTTCTTCAGTTTTTTAAGTCTCAAGGTTTTCTGTCTTGCTTTAATTCATACTCTGCACCTTGTATTTCCTGTTTAGATTCTAAGTGTTTAGCAAGAAGGATCTATACTATATGTTCACACTGTGATTAAAACAACAGGCTCCCTTGTCACAGAAGACTGATAGTGTATGCCAACAGTAATACACCTGGAGATTAGTTTTAAAATAGAGGGATTAACGATAATAAGCATCATATTAATGGTTGAACCCAATGATCTTAAAGGTCTTTTCGAACCAATGACTCTATTGCCTCCTTTGTTAACAGCTAAGGGATGTCATCATCTTTTTCCAACTCATTTACAACATATAAAAATATTGAAATTTAGTATCACATGTATGTGAAATGTGTATGAGAGAATGTCTCAGATGGAGAATTCACTTAAGCTTTTGTTTTCATCTAAGCCTTACAAGGCCATCCATCCCACTGTACTCTTTCATTGTGTTCTCTGCTGAGACACTCTTCAGTTTAAACTCAGTGAAGAGCATCTACAGAGACTGAGGGGAAAAGTGTTCGGGTTGCTAACCCCTTTAGTGCTTATGGTCAATAATGAAGAAGAATGGTCAATATTGGAATGGTCTCAGTGTCGAGGCAGCCACTTGAAAAATAATATTCTTGGAAGCATGCTGTTGCCTTAATGTAATCAACAGCTTGCCTTCCATGTGAGGAAATTTATGCTAATAATTTTCTCTTAGTTCTTGCAAAGCAGAAGTTATTGCAAAGTAATTAAAAAGCAAAAGTTATCGTCAGTCACTTTGCAATATGAAAAGGCTGGCAGACATACAGCAGACTAGGTTGAACACTCAGCCGTGAAACATCAGTTTTGTCCGTGTGCAGTAAGTGTAATTCTTGTGCAAATCTGCTGTCGATGAAACCTAAAGTAGTGAAAACCACTTCTTGCTAATAAAAAATAAAATTAGGAACTGGGAGCATGAATTAGGTCTCTGAAGCACTGAGCAGGAATACTATATTTTTAAAATAACTATCACCTCATTGAACATACCTCTGCATGAATATACCACCCACAAGAGAGCTACCAGATGTACTTTAAGGACTCTCAAAATTGAAAGAAGTTTCAGGAGACTTCCTTCATCTCATTTCCATGCAGAGAGACTTGTAATTTGGTCTCTGGAGGCCTTTTTCCAGTAAGTAACAGCTGTCTGAAGTTAACTCTGTTGTACACACCCATGTTTTTGCTAGAGATTCGAGAACAAAATGTTTTCTGTAAAGGTTTTCTGAACGATTTTATTGAGGTAACTTTCTTCATTTTATATGTATATCCATTCATATAGACCTATAATTCAAAGAGCCAAACGCTTGTCTAAGGCACTTGTACCTGTGCACAGCAGAGTATCCTACAGTACTGTACAACTCGGCAACAAACATCTTGTTAAACTAAACCACCATAAACCAAGCATAATACGTGTACTGTATAAAAAAGATAATACATATTCTATTTTTCAGATTACAATATTGGAATATATTTGAGTCTGTATATATATATATAATTATACGCTACAGTACAGATAAAACATCAAGAAGCAGCTATAATTGATTTGTAAGAACTCCAGTTACTTATATTCACAGATATCAATACACCTGTGTAAAATGCAGTATCAGATCAGCCACTTCTGTATAGTCACCGTATTCAATCACACTAAGTCAAGCTGCCAAAATACAATTAAACGCATTCACTTTATAATTGTTACAGAAAATACACACTGCATAAGCCTCTCCACAGACTCACATCTCCACAGCCTCAGATGTTTTGAAAGTCATTAAACACGTGGAAAGTACATTTTAAAATGTCAGTATTTCTAAGCTGATAATGTTTCAGACACATTTTTATAGTTACCAGTAACTATACAGTATGATGGACAAGTGGGGAACCAAGTCTGGAATTTTGTTTGCCTCATTTTACTTGTAAATAGGAACATGTAGTGAAATTCAAGCAAGTTACATTCAGCATAATTTGTTTCTCTTTTCTAGCAAATTAGTAGAAACAATGAAGTCTAAGAACTGTCCCAGTGCCTATTTATAAGTGACACTGTCCATTATGTGCTGCAAAACTTTAATTGCAGGAAATTCAAGTGAAAATTTAATTTCAGGGGACTGTGGCCTGCTTATAGTATATTCAGCACCTAAGAACCTTTTGGCTTTATTGGGCCCTAGAAAGACCCTGCTGGAGCCTAACCACCTGCACTGGTGTGGGTGGGTTATCAGTCCTTCCTGGAGTCATCTCTCAGTGGTGTCCTTGCAGACTTGATTGAAAGAGGCACATGTGCAAGGATTGCTACTACTGAGTACTACCTTCCCCGGTGTATTGCAGCTCTGCCAGAGACATACACGTTCTTGAATGCCCAGTGTTTAAGGTACACTTGGGTCTACAATGTGTGACATACTAATACTACTGTAATTTACTGTTTGAGCAATTCCTCTGTAAAATGCTGGGAAGGGATGCAAACTTACTAGCTCTTGAGTGTACAGCAATATAGTCTGCAATGTTCTTGCACCTATCCTAGATTTTCATTTAGGTGCAAATAGAATTCAATTTCTCTTTCAGGGAGGGATTAAAAAAAAAATAAATTTTGATGAGCTATTTGAACATTTAAATGCAATTTTTTATTAGGAAGAAATTCTTTACTGTGTGCAAGGCCAGGTTAGATGGGGCTTTGGGCAACCTGGTCTAGCGGAAGGTGTTCCTGCTGATAGCAGGAGGGTTGGAACAAGCTGATCTTTAAGATCACTTTCATCCCAAACCATTATGTGATTCTATGAATCAGCATGTGCCATCTCCACACCCTTCCCACCCCTGCTCATACAATTTGATGCCCATTCAAACAAGCCCTTAATATCTTTCTGTTCCAAATCACACCAGCTAAAATAATTGTCCAAAACACAGTATTTGTTTAATTCCAAAATTTATACAAGTTTACAAATCAATATACCACCACACAAAGTAGTGAAAGGAAAATATGTTCAGCAACATTTTACTATATTATAACAAGGTTCAAATATGGTTAAATTTGACATAGTATTGCAAGACTTTATATTTTTAATATAAAGATTTAATGATTGAACAAGGAGATACAGAGAATACCATTACTTTCTTTGTTCTTACCCAATGCAATATTTAGCTGCTAGAAAATAATGAAATAGTGGTGAAATGCTGTATCTAGTTCATATGAGCTCTATTTTCATTAAAATCCTTAAACAAAATGGGAACACTGACAAAGTGTAACAAGATCTTATTAATCATTAAAGTTAATAAATAGAAACCTGTCAAAATGTAACAGTGAAATATGTTATTTTTATTCAATTTCTCCCTTTCTCTATATAGATACACTTTCATAATTTTTTTCCAGGTGTCTTAAAAAGAAGCTTTAAGCTACTCTGGGGAATTTACTTTTCTTTGATTCTCAAAATGTTTTAACATCAACCTAATACAAACCTTCAGAATTGCTTTTTTGTTCATCAAAACCTAGGTCCCAGCAGTGATCATTGCTCCGAGAGCGCAATTCATTGTACAGTAAGAATTAAGATAGTAACAATAATGGAGCTAAATGTGGAGCTCCTAAAGGCAGGAAGTAAGTTTATTCTGTGCTTCACCCTCAGTATGTCTTTATTTTAGTTTATAGCAGTGGCACAGGTCTTAACTCCTAGAGATATGAATAAAAATAGATGACATGAAAGCATTGAAAGACACAGTTCTGGCATACCTAACAATTTCGTGCAAATGTAGTCTTTTAGCATAGTTTCCTTTATCATTAAAGCATTAACAGCATTAAGATACAGGCTCATATTCTAGTCCCTACTTAGGATGCCAGCAGTGCTCAGACAGACCTGTCCTAATGATGCAGTTTGCCAGGTACCCAGATAACAGTGTGGCTCTCACCACCCTGGCTCCAACCTACTGCTAGCTGCAGCTGATGAGGGGGTTTCAGTTGATTCCCAGGCCGCCAGACTAGATAAGACATTTTTAGCCCTTGCTGGCTGGATCTTCCTCCCATTTTATGATATAAAATTGTGGCTCAGACTGTATTTATACTCAGGTTAGTGGCAGCTATTTTGAAACAATTTCTCTGATGTCTGTGTCACAGACATGGATTGAAGCATCTCCACTGGAAACAATGTGCTAATCTCACCTGGAAGGAGGGGACAAATTTCTGTAATTTCAGAGATATTTTCATCCCTTCCTTTCACAATTTTCATTTGGTTTTCTATGAAAAAAGAAGAAAAGTGTTCATCTGATACAGTTTTTACATGTCAGCACCGAGGTTGTGGTGCTTCTCGAAGCACTAGCTGTCCAGTGTGGACAAAGCAGTAGCTGGTGCTGCCCTGGGCCACACCACATCAGAAATCGGTAAAGTCCACCACAGCAAGGGGCATGCACAATGTAGGCAAATGTTAAACCCTACAAGCAAATATACTCTTGTAGACCTACAAATGTCTGTGAATACTTTCAGTGATTTTGAAGAGACACTGCTGCTGGTCCTACCTTTATCCAAATCACCAGCTGAAATGCTATTTAGCTTAAATAATCATTAGCATTTAAATAATTTTTTTTTGTACTTGTTGAATCAACACATATATTACAATTGGAAGGAATTCTGATAGATTATTTTTCATTTTAAACAACTAAATTCAGTTATAAGAACTGATTTATATTGCCTGAAAGAAGAGAGAGATGAGAGACGTTCTAGAACCATTTCAATTTATTATGTGAAGAAGAAATGAGGATTTGTAAGCATCCACTTTTCTGCACTCACAGCAACATGTTGTCATGTGTGATCCTACCAACAAAAATCTCATGTGTGAGGTCATTTCAGCACCACTACTTCAAGCTAGTAATTTTCTCTTTGTGTGGATGTAGACATCTGAGCTCATTATCTGACTCTGTGGAACACAGGTATGCGTGTAAGGTTTGTCGTATGTTGTGGATGACATTTAAATGATTTGTCCAACTTGATAAAAATTGACACAGTGATCCCTTTAGACAACTGGGCTGTACTACACATTGCATGGAAATTGTTATTTTTTAATTTGCCTTTTTAACATCTCTTTATTTTTATCCTCAAGGATTACTTACTCAGGAGTTTCTCAGGACTTGTCCTGATTTTTCCCTTCTAACAGGCATGCAGCACCACAGACAGGTACATGGCATTATTTCCAACAGGCTGTTGTAGCAGCTTCAAGACATTCAAAATCATGAATACAGAGGACTGGGAGATACAGCAGAAACCGACTTTAGGCAGCTCAGTAAGGTAAAGCAAACTCGCTTTACTGCACATAGTAACGTACCAAAATCTTGTTATTTTTTATTGCATGGATTACTTTCTACAGCTGTTGTTTTTCTGACAGTTGATACTTAGAATATAAAAATAGTATATACAATTCTATGTCTGTGTGTGGGTACAGTACACAATAGATATCATTCTAATTCTGCAAGTATACTACGTTTTTACATAAGTTCCAATGCAGAAAACTTTTTGTCCAGTTACTTAAATTTGGCGAAGTAGTTTGCTGACTTGTGGGCCAAATAATGCATCTGATTATTTGTCATCAAAATAATAAGAGATTACATTAGAAACTAAAGATTAGAAACTAAACCAGCATCTCTAGCCAGGCTAGTATTCTGCCTCTAGCAATGGCTTGTAGTGAATACTTTAATAAAAACCCAGACCCTGAAGGAAGATAGGGAAAGCCTTAGTAATAGCTCACCTATGTATATCTTCATGTCTTATGGCAAAACACAGCTTGAGGAAGTCTGAGCCAGAAGCTGTATTCTCATCTTTGCGGTTTAACTGTTAAAACACAGAGAAGGTGGCATGTCTTTCCCATCCATGCTCCAGGCCTACAATAGAGGAATGTCTTCTTGCAAAGTCAATTCATTCACTCCATTCTAAGAATTTAGCAAGTTTTGGTTTGCTTGTGTAACCTGTATGTACTCTGGCATGTCAGTGGAGCTACTGTATAAAGTTTATATAGTCTGACCTTACTTGTCCAAGTTATTCTGCCTGTGCAACAGCTATCCTTCTGCCTTTAGCATCGTGGCTGCTTTCAAATGCTTCAAAGTGATTAAGGCAACACTGAGGTCTATTTAATTCCTCCACTTGTTTCCTTTGAAGTGAAATGCCGTGGTTTATACTTCAAAGTCAACACAATAGACCTTTATAGGATTTTGGACACACATTTCTAAATTTGGCAACAACAACAACAAAGTTTAAGCAGGAGAAATGTTTATTCTGTGCTAGTGTTGAGTTTTTAAGTTTACTCTTCAAATCCTAAAACTAAAAATTAGGATTCTACCAGAATTGCTGACAAACCTTCACTCTAGTGGCCTGATCATTCCTGTATGATTTAGTGCCAAAGAATACATTTCACTGCTTCCTTGATGTCAAAGTGGTGTTTCTATATTTATAAAATTATGGGATCCACAGAAACTAAACTGTTTTCTGCAAATGGAATCCTAATGGCTTTTATTGATTCCTTTAAAAAAGGGAAAGTGGTGCTTCCTTTTCTTTGCTACAAGCACGTATATGTTTATTTTATTTGGTTATTGATATTTTGGGGTCTGAACATCACCAGATTTTTACTCAAATGTATGCAATCCTAAGAGTCATATAAATCCAGCTTTTTAAAAAAGAAAAGTTTGTCAATCTCTAAAAATAATAGAGTGACAGCTATTGGAAAGTACTATCCTGTTACTATAAGTGCTCTTTACTAAAACAATCCACCCCATTTATACAAACCTGGTCGTTTTGTAATATCAGTAAAGGGGGAGATCTAATTTTAGCCACCAACTTCCATTCCTGCCTTTAAGCTGACATCTGAAACAACCATCTTCAACTTTATAAACTGAAAACATTCCACAAGAATCTACTGCAGGTTCTGAGGTAAAAATCACATCTACACAGACCTTTTATTGCCTGAAAAAGAAATACATACACTTCATAATTAAAAACTAAAAGGGCACATAAAAGACAAAAATAATTTGTAATATGTACACACATTAGAAAGGATAAATAGGAAATATATTGTAATACTGCATTAAATGTATGCATAAGTGAATTCCAGACCCCCCCCAAAATGTTGTGTACATTAATTCAAAGGATAAATAAGTGCTGATATAAGACAGAGAATTTCTTAGTGTAAACAATGCCACAGGCTTTTTAATAGGCCTTTGGGCCAACTTAGAGAAACCATGTATTGCCTTTCACACTTCATACCACTTCATTTTAATAGTACTGTATTCACATGTACAATTTCAAGACAGTATAAAAAATTATGACTCTAAGAAGCATTCTTCACACTCAACAAAACAGGCTGCAGACACTCTAAGGATTTTCCATTCACTTTTACAGGACCACTGGCTGAAGACATATTTATTCATCTGGGAGTTCTTCCTCAAAGCAGTGCAAGAGTCCTTGAATGTAAAAAGTCCCATTAGTCATCACTGCTCAAGCCTACTAGTAAAAACTTTTGTGCCTAATTTAAATCCTGATTTTGAATTCACTCTAGCATGATGTCAAAGTTGTCTCTACTGCCTGCCATGGGTGAGAAAGATGATGATCCCTCTGGTTTGAATAGCAAGTGACAGACAGTAAGGAGTGTTTCTAAACATGAAGCATTTCATTGCATTCATAGTGTCATGTTATTTGTCCTTCAAATCCTGTTTATGTATTTCTGAGGATCAGGAGTATGTCAACATTAAAACCCCCAAAATATATAACTTGTTCTGTATGAATGTTCAGTGTATTTTCTTGAAGCATGCTCATTGGGATTTTAAAAAAGACAGCTGTGTTCTACTAGGACTAATTTCTGGCAACTGCATTTACTGGCACCAGAGAAGATTACAGTTCTTCACTAAAGTACTGCTGACGTGAGGACTTGTGGCTTGCTGTCTTCCTAAGACAGGCTGCGGCCACTAGAAAAAATACATGCACAGTTGCTCACACTCTCAGTTTCTTTTAAAAAATAGTTTCTCCCACTGGCCAAGTGCGTTGTTGAGCAGTCCCATCTGTTCCACTCTTGTCTGTGGACCAACAAGTGAAGTCTCTCTTCTCCCACGCTCTCAGTCCTTTTCACACTCAGTTACCCTCATTCACAACCCTATGAAGTCTAATGAGTTCCTGGTGACAGGCTCTCAAGCGATTGTCTTCAGCACTTCCTGACTTGTGGAGCTCCGATGAAGAAGTCCACCGACTCATCTGTGTGAGATAGCCACAGAACCATGGTCTGTCTTAACACTGACAAACACTTCATGTGGGTTCTCCTCCTAGACAAAGCATTTGTCCATTGATAAAGATGAGGGCCACATCCTTCATTAACCTCAGGGTAAGCTGTAGCACACACTCATACTCGGTCAAATTCCAGTGCAATCTCAGGTCTTCAGGACTTAATGATTTCCCCAAAGAAAATTGTTGCATGAAACAGAGGATGTGGTCAAACAGTTATGGACGATGAAACCTGAAACGATAAATCATTAAGAAACTTAGAATTACATTACAATGACAGTGATCCTCATCCTGCTCTGACAGCTGTTTACTTTCGTTGCCTGAATAGAATTATTCCTGATTTTCCTGGTCTGTGTGGGATCAGTCAGCCCTATTATCCCCCACTGTCTCTACTAGAAAACCAAGCAGGGCTACACTGTATCTCAAGCACGGGTGTCCATCTATTTGTCCATACCCTTAACCTGCTACTGTGGTCCCTGGCACAGTTTTGCTTGCATCAGCCAGTACTCTTCAGATACCGCTTGGGCATGGCTGATATTAGCAGACAGACTGTGTATAGAGGGGCATTGCCCTGTTTTGGCGTGGGAGGAAGAGGTTAACTATATGAATTTAAGCTCTGCCAAGCCTGCTGGCCTCAGAGCAAGAGAACAGCTTCCTGGCTGTTTTGTTTGCCAGTACAGATTTAGCTGCAATCGCACCAACTATTTGGACACTGTCGGTAAATTTAAGCCACAAAGCTTAAATTTCTTGGTTTTAATCCTTCTGCAAAATGAGGCTAAAAAAAAATCTGGATTTTTTTAAGCAAGCAGCAGATTTTTCAGCACTGCAGATGCTTTCGTCCTATTAACAGCAGCCAACTGTGACACAAGAAGGCCCAAAGACTGTTTTTTATACTTTTAGGTAGGGCATGTACATCACTCCAGATTGTCTGTATGATGGATAGAGAGGTGGGTTGCTCCAAAGGGTGATACCAACCTTTTCTATAATAAGTTAGCAACCTACAGTAATAGAAACTCTAACTCTGCATAAATGTCATGAATCCAGGCAAAAAGGTAAGAAGGACACCAATATCACATGCTCAACATGTCTATCACCAGATTTCTAAATGCCTGTTTAAAAGGCTTAAAAAAAATCTATGTATCTATCTATCTATCTATCTATCTATCTATCTATCTATCCATCCATGAAGTAGTAAAAGATGCAGCAGCTTTAAAAAAAAGCATAGGTAATAATGCACCTAATACAGTAGATTTATTTAAGTTTTTGTTTGACACGTTTTCTCTTCAGTTCCAGAGAAGAGAAAGGCAAACAAGTCACACATTCACCCTGTAATGTGGCACAGTACAATACACGGATGTCTTTCTCAAATAAAGGAGGTGTACACAAGAGCTGACATTCACAAAGATGCAGCTCATCTACTAAGTGAGGGCACAGTGCACTGCAAAAAGGACACCAGGTTTTTGGATTTGTGTAGAACAATGATATATTGGACTATATATAGCATTTCCATTAGAAGCACTTTACAGACATCTGCTAATATCCTCTTCCCAAACATTTATTTATTTCTCTATTTTTAGGAACTCAGTTTCTTGGATCCTGTTATTAAATAACAGAAAGAATTAGTCCAAATTACTAGGTAGAAAAACAGTTCAACTGACAGTCATTACAATAAGTGATGAAAAATGAAAACCAGGGTTTTTCCTTTCCCAAGCTTAATAGCAAATTTTAACAATACAAAGATATTGTAAATACTGACTATAATATTAAAAACCTTGCACTGAACATGTGATAAGAAACTATATGCTATAAGCTATTTTTGTTTAATATGTTGCTTCCTTGTTGTCTCATTCTGTCGCAGAACTACACAAATAAGAGTTTGTTAACCAGCCAGTTAACCAGCTGCCAACACAAGTGCCTTTTGGTTTGTATTCTCTCAGTGATCTCCTGAAAAAATTAAAAGATGAACAATTCATTCTCTAGCTTGAAGCTTTTGTCTATGGGTTTCTTAAAACGAATCAGTTTTGTTGTATCAATGCAAATGCAGTGGTGAACTACATTAATTTTTAATGAGAAGTCCCAGAGGAAATGGGATCTCTTTTTATTTTCAAAAGTGCAATTGAGTTTAAACATCTGCATCTAATTCTGCCCTTAAGTGGCTTTTCTGGTGCTGTTCTGCTGACTTCTGTGCAGTGGCTCCACAACATGACCACTGAAAATCCAAGAAAAAAGGAGCGTGGAGAGGGAGCAGAGAGAGCCCGATTTCCCTCAGGTCCCTATAGAATTATTGCCTGTATTTATCACAATTTGGCTATTTTTTATTCCATTTTCCAAGACCCTCCTCAAAACAAATCATTAACTTCTTAATTGGTTTTTTCCCTTCACTGGACCCCTGAGATTTTTGGTTCACCTTTAAGAGTCAAATTGTAACCAGTCTCAACTGTTTTCAGTTCTCCTGAAGAAATACCCAGTTCTTTTTGTATGACTCATGCCTATCTGTACTTATGCTTCTGTGTTGCAGTGCAACTCAAAAAATGTAACAACATAAGCAGGAGGTCACGCTCCATCTCTCTCAGCGCACGGCCAGGTTTCTGTTCCTGCTCATTTTCCTTCTCTCCCTCAGGACAAGCATTTTTTTAAAGTGACATTTTTACATATTCTAAAGAAGATATACTACGTACTGGCTGAAGAGGAAAAGATATCAGAAGCCAAATGAAGATATACATATCCATGTCTGAAGACATTTCCTAATGGTCAGAATGCAACACTGGATTGAAACCATGCCTCCCAGTTCATCTCCTGGCTTAGGGTTGCTGTTTGTGAAACTGGTTTGATTTTTTGAAAATTAATTTTCCTGTGTTATATCTACACTTGAGAGACTTTACAGTAGTATTAAAAACAAAAATAATCATGTTTGGTGAGAAAAAACCCAGTGAAGTTATGAAATCAAGCAATGAACTACGCGATGGCAGAAATCACCAAACACATCTCCCACTGTGAATTTTCCTTGTGACACTCTTTCACTTTCATGAGCAAGGGAGTACTACCAGAGAAGAACAGCCCTTACTTCATGCTTGAGGACTGTTAACTGAAGAAATGCTGAGTCCTCTCAAAGGATTGTTTTTTAGATTTCCCAAATGATCTTTTTCAACGAAGTAACTCATCCGTTGCAGTCACCTTCACTGCTGTATCAGTTTAGATTCTGAGATGGCACCAGCAACAACGGGAATCCCAATAGAACCAGTGATGGGATTCAGGTGGGATTCAAGGGGACTAAGGTAGGAATCTACACAAGTCATGACACAACTGCAAAGGACTTGCAGAAAGGCAGAGGGTCACTGTCATCTCCCCAGTTTATGCAAGAAGAGGGATTTACCTACCTGGTAAATTGCCGACTTTCCTCATGTACTTCCATTTCTGTGCTTTTAAATTCATTCAGTTCTTTCCGTATGGCTGCCTAATAAGCAATAATGATACATGCAACCGTAAGAAATATGAATCTTAAGGAAAGTAAAGCTTCTAAAAGGAACCTGTCCCTAGTCTTGCAGGTTCCCTTACAGTTCTCATTTTCCTGTCCCCCTTACTGTAACCAGCATGTTTCTGATCCTCAACATGAATGACTTTTTTCAATTACAGTTATATGGAGCAGTAATACACTATAAATAAACTCAATGTCAACAAAGAAACACCAAGTCTACCGCAATGGGTGAATCAACCTCCTGCTGAAATGTGGCACTTGCTACAGACAAAAGTGGGCACAGGACTGGATTACCTGGACAACCAACCGCTGAGTATGCAGCCAGATGGGATCCAGGCACAGCCACTGGTGAGTCTCACTGCCTGCACAGGCACTGTACACACAGCAGGGGCCTCCTATCTCCCCGCTGAAGAAAGGACTTCAGGAATGCAAGATGAGCAGCATTTCTTTAAGTGAAATTAGTCACTTGTCTTGATTAGCTTTATGCAAAATTATGTGAAATATTTGGACATTTCAGGCTTGCATTTTCAGTTGGCAGATTTTAATGAAGTAGAAATCCAGCACACTTTATAAATGCCTTGTTTTTTATGTTAACAAAGTGATAAGCAGCTTACTTCATCAAGAGTTGAATATAATTTCTCAAATACTCTAATATATACTACAAGGGCTTCTGTTTCTATGCCGTAAGTTTTCTTACCTTCACTGTGGAATGAAACACAGTTTATCTTTACTCACTCTTTTCTTTCACCATTTTAAAGAAAAGCAGTATCATTTCATTAATCCCTAAAGAAATCTCATCTGGTGTGCATGCCTTTCAGCGCAGAACAGGCAAGCAGCATGATAAAATTACAGCATCACCAGACTGCGGTCTCATAAATGAGAAACTTCATTTTGAGGAAGGGATGGTTCTGTTTAGCCACAACAGGATGCTTATATGAGACTGCTGTAATAGCTAGGAAAGAAACAGTTATTTCTGAGCACCAAGTGAGCAGCAAAGACACCAGAGCTCCAGCTCCCTAACATAGTTACAGTACAGTTTTCTGCTCCCACTGGAATTAGAAAAATGACTTCCCTGGGAAAAAGGGCAAGGGACTTTCCTGGCAACCTGAGGTCCACATTTCCGCTCAGGCCAACAAACATGGAGCTCACAGAACCAGCCTTGGGCACTTGCTCATTACAAAATGAATTAAGATTAAAAGCTCTTACCCTGAAGTAGGTAGGAAACACCACTGTTTCTTCTAGTGCAGTTGACCCTGATTAAACCTAGGTAAACCTGAGTGCTCCAACCTCCCACAGAGACTTCACAAGGACTTGAGAGTGCTCAGCACCTCCCAGAGCCCGCATCTACAAACAATTCTGGGTACATTTTTAAGGTCTCCACCTTGACTTCATATGAGATTCTCCTTTGATTGTCAGACGAGCTGGCATTAATACTAAAATACAAGCCGAAATAAAATCACTGCTTCACAGTGTATAGCTAAAAGATAGTGGGTTCTTGCACTTATCAGTTCTCATGCCAAGCACATCTCTTAAGATTTCTGTAAAAGCTGGTTCAGACCCAATGCTAAAAGATCCAGCATTTTTTGATACATATATCCTAGACCTTTCCTTTTATGAAGTGGTATAGGAGGGAAATGGAAGAGTATTTTATGATACTCTTTGACTGATCTGGTTTTTGAAAGAGAATCACAGAATCATTTGTCTCATCCTTTGTAGTTAGGCAGAGGAACTATTAACTGCAACATGTTGAAGGCAGATTTCCCAAGGTATGCTGCATGCACATGGTGAGTTCCCATACTTCTAGTTGTGGCCAAGAACTCTTAGGAGGATGGAGCAGCTTCTTCCTTTTTTCACTTCAATGAGTTGCAAAAATAACTCTCAGTGGCAGTGACACAGGCTTCTGCCTTCCGAAACCTTGCCTGAATCCCACAGGTAGTGTTCATCTTTGCTAACAGTGTGTACCTGTCTTAGCAAGGCTTTAAAAATACAGGAAATACTGGCCTGAACTGCCATAATGGAGTTGGCAAATACACTCTTAATAAGCACCTGAGCGGGTTTTCTTAGGTGCAAGCAATAGATGCACAGTAGTACCATGACAATCTCACTGCTTCTATCACATGTCACTCATGATGCCAGCATTGAGAGGATGTAAACCACAGGAAAGCCCCCCAGAAGTGACATATGCAAGAGTTTTCTTATAATCTAAGAGTTTGTCCCTTGCCTTGTCTGCGGGAGTTAACCTAGCCCAAGGCTTGTCAGCACGACGGTCGTAATCCGGAGAATCCGTGACCTCCACATACTCATTAAATCGAAGGATTCTTCTTGCTTGAAGTTCAGCCACTGTAGGCCTCAGGCTGAGCTGTAAGCAGGAGGCAGAAAATAGTACTTTTAATAAGAAGAAATAAAACAAAAGAAGAGGGTATGATGTAATCTCAAGAGAATTTTAGTGGTATTTCTAAATAGGGTCACTTTCAGGTAGCTATAAAAAGGCATCACCCTGGGAGCACTACATGGGAATGGGGAAGCAGCACAACCTAATTTCTTCCATTATAAAAATAGTCTTTGTTGGGCAGGTCACAAAGAATCATGACAGTTATCCCTGGAATATTAATTGTGACTTTGCAACTGTCACACCATTTACCCCAACAGGCAGTAGTCCGTTTGCATTAATGATTACACAGTCTGCCATGTTCAACTATAATACTGAAAATAAGCAGGATTTGGAGGTGCCTGCCTAACTAAAAAAAATTGGTTTCAGTATCTGGGGTCATTTATGATGCCAAATTGTTGCAGTCACCTCAAAACAATATTCACTTTAATTAACTAAAGATGATATTATTAAAGAAACTGTATTTTTTCAGAGAAGAGCAGACTAGGAATACAAATGAAAACTCCCCCATCCTGTCCCAGAACAAACTCGAAGTCAGGGGCAGCAGATCCATCCCTAACTGCTTTGTTTCCAGGACAGAGAGTGCAATCCCACCTGCAGTGGTCAAGGCAGTTAGAAGAATGGTGAAGGAATTTCTTAGGGCACACATTGCTTTGCTGCCTTCTCTGCTGCTTGAGGGAAGAGTGGATCTACAGGTACACCTGGCCTCTAACATGACAGCAGTGGCCATGCTCACCGAGCAAATATGTGTAATTTCTCTCCCCTGCTGACACAGACAAATATTAAGCATGGCCAGACTCCATATGCTTTTCCAGCAGTTATGGGAAACTGGCCAGGATGGAGTTTTCCCCACGGTGGACTGGGCTTGTACTGATTTTTAAACAGATTTCTAGACTGGGGGCATAAACTGATGGACATTTGCAGCAATGTATATACATCAATTCTTAGAATAATTGTACACAAATATACAATACAAAAAACACATCATCACCTTTCTACTGAGTTTACGTTTTATTTCTCTTTTGGCTTCCTGCTCCTCTTCTTCATTTTTCTCTGTTTTCAGAAGAGATAAGAAGGAGTGAATATTTAAGTATTAGAACTGCACATACTGTGTTTTTCTTGGTTGAAAGCTTCATGACTTAAATCCTAGCCCATGTTTCCTCATATTTCTGGGTGATCCTGCCTGCATTGTCTGCTTTTTAGGTTTTGTGTGCTCTCATTTCTTTTCCCTATCCTCATTTCCCCTGATTCTTTAGACATCTCAAGTCACCACTGTGGGTCAGGAACACAGCAGAGGAAGCGTCTGTCATTTTCTATGTAACAGCAAAGTAGGACCCTGAAAGAGCTGCCTAATGTTTCAATTACTTGTCCTAACATTAAAATCACTGTTGTTTTTACTTCTGACATGCCTCCTTTAGACTTTAGAGTCTAATTACTCATAAGGCTCAAGAAAAAAGTTTGTTCTGAGTAGCTGAATCAGCTGAGTGTCCTCTACTGCTACAGGATGCAACGAGTCAGTGACAATTGGTTTCACCATCATTTGTTAGTGCAAATTGGTTTTGTTACTTTAAGTTTTTTTTCTGGTTTTATAATGTGGGGGTGTGATTCAGCACTCAAGCCCTCTTGATTAGGGGCCACTAGCTAGACCAAATGAACAAGCACAGCAGGAAATGGTATATGCATTTTTTAATGTATTTGGGCATGAGACTGAAATATGCTTTCAACAGATTTCTGTGCTAACCGAACTTGATGTCTTGAGTGAAAAGCACACTTACAAAGGCATGCTCATATGGACTCAGCGTTTTTAATGTACATTTTGAAGAATATTATTTGCCCTTTCAGCCCACCTCTGAGAGTTATATGCAATGTTAACTTTGTTGTGGCTGAAATATCCTATCTAGAGATACCTGTAAAATTCTGATCCGGTTTTATTCACGGTTGGGGGTTACGGATTTCACATTATAGTTCAAGGCTAACTATAAATGTAAAGGAATTAATTTGTCTGTTGTATAGATAAAAAGGCAGTTTTAAATCCTGTAGTCCCATCTGCCCTGTCTGCTATGGCAAGCCTGCTGTGTTAGTATGGACAACCTGGCCACAGAGGAGTTTCTGTATCATGACTGACACACTGGAAGCAACACTACGACAGGACACCTCATGGTATTTGAAGATTTCCTTTGCTAACTCAAAGGCTCTCATGCAGGAAGAATGCAAAGGAAAGGGGAAGAGAAAAAAATGACAGAAAAAGAAAACGAAGAAAGTTGCAGCAGGAAAAAGGTGATGGCAGCCAAAAGACCTGCTCTGTGAGGAGTGTCCAACACTATACTATCCCCAGGTTTCCAACAGCAAGATGCAATTGCGCAGGCTTGCTGCCAGGATTGGGTTGGATTTCATGCTGATGGTGATTTTACTGAGATACTGAAATGTGGATGTAGTTTATGGTTTGTTAATAGCTTTTCTCATAAATGGTGAAGATAAGGATGGTCTGTTTCCACGCAGGAGCTGTAAACTGACAGAAAATGAAGAATGAAGAGTTAAAGATTAATCTACATTTTAATCTTTTTTAATTAATATACTTATCAATAAAAAAGTTGGGTGTATTTAAGGATTTATAACTTTAAATAAGAAATCTTTTTATAGCAACTTTGCCTAACAAAATCAAAAGCTCTCTAGCTATTTTAGGTCAGGTAAACCGTCTGTAGGCTTCTGTTTAAACCTACTGTGTTTGCAATCAATAGACATAGTAACTGAGGTAATTAAATAAAATCTATTAATCTGGGGTCCCATTTACCTAAGAATCATTTGGCATAAAAAATTTTGTCCCCTTATGAACTGAATAGCTTAGGTCCTACCTCACAAATTCTCCAGTAGCAGACACAGCAGAAAAAAAATGCAGCTGGATGTACACATCACTGTACTGCCTTTTCTTAATTTAGTTTGTAAAATACATTCTGCATTATTCACATCTTGACATTTCATTGCTATCTAAACTACCGTGTCTCCTAAGATACAGTAATAAGACAGTGTAAGAAATAGTGGCTCACACTGCTTAATTCATACCTTAAGGAAAAACTGCCAACAGCACAGCCACCTGAAATTGTTGGGGGAGGATAAAATAACTCAAAAAATTTGATGTGGACATTTAGGAAGGTTGAAGGTTAGCTGCCTATCTCAAGCTGTAAAGCTACCTCACAGTGGGTAGCAGATGACTGCATGAAAGGATGGCTGGACACAAGGAACCACCTAGAAATGGGTGATGAGCAAGGCCATCATCTTAGCTGCTGGGCAGAGGAGCCAGGCAGGTCCTGGAGAAGGCTGTCGGGAGAGCTGGAAGCCCACCTTTTGGAGGGCAACTCCAACAGGGGGCACCAAGAGCTTCCTTCACTCCCAGGTGAAGCAGGAGGCAATCAAACGTGGGGAACAGTCCTCTGTATGAGAGGTCAGGAAGCAGGAAGGGCACTACACACCCAAGTTGCTTCACTTCTAGGAATAAACTCAAGAGCTAAAGGAAAAAGACTGACGTCTGGTGGCTGCTGCTAATATAATGAATCTGCTGGTCAGCGAGTGGCCCTCCATCTGTGGCACTGACTCATACTAAAGCACCTCCTTCCCATCTCCAGCCTGCTGGGCAGTGTTGCTGCTTTAAGCTTGGTGCTATGAAAACATTGTTCATAGGATATAAATTCCTATCAACAGTAAAACCTATAGTGTATTTTTCTTCTCTTAAGATAGAAGTTTTGAAAGTTACCATAGTGAGTTAAGAAGATGTGTGGTGCAAAAAAGGACGGGTCTAGTGCTCCTGCTTCCTTCAGGTGTTGTGGAAAATTCCAGCTGGAGGGCCAAGTTTTGGGTGCAGGTACAAACTGACTCACTTGCCCAAACAGGAACACATTAATGCATAGGAACACACTCTGGCTGCTTTCCACCTTAAAACAGATCTAATCTGTGCGATATGGGGTAAGAAAATATAAACACAATGTTCCCAGCTGCAAGTCCCCTCCTCAGATGTCCTGCTGCTGCTGTACTGGCAAAAGACCAGCACAGCAAGCGCCCGTGCTTGCAGGAGTCCACAGTTAGATCCCAGCAAAACTATGGTTTTCCTCCTTCCCTGCCTGCAGCTCCTAGGAGGTCAAACTGGGATTGAACTCCTAACTGAAGCAATTCTGTTTAGCATCACTTAGCAAGCCAAACAAGCAGCTTCCCTGACATCTATACATTAGAGCTCCTGCAATTTTTGCCATATTAAATCTGGCCACCACCTGTTCTGTGGGATATTTGTTTTGTAACAGAAGGGGAAAAGAGAAGAGAGAATTGTTCTGCCTGAGGACTGCTCCATTCTTGACCACAAAGTACTCCCGCAGCGTAAAACCGAACTTTCCACTGTGTTCCTATGGGATTAGCTATGTTTAGACTTCTCTGTAGGCTTGCAGGGAAAGGGAAAAAGACAAACAAAGTGCTTGCCTCTTGCAGCAGTCTGGAACACACAAAGTGGTTTCTCTTTCCTCATTTTACAAGCAAAGATAACCATTAATATTCCTTAATGAGCTAACCCCTGTTTTCTACAAAGCCAGTACTGGCAGGCATGCAGGTGCACAGCACAAGAAGCTCACTGTCCCTTACAAATACAGGAAAAAATACAGTTATCTTAATCCAAAATTCCTGGAAGAATAAAAAGGTTCTTTGCCATAATGGAACACTATAAATACTACTGGCTCAAAGCCAGTACACAAGAAACTTGTCTTTATTAAAAACACAGGGCTTTATCTATTCCTTCAAGTTCACTCCTGAGTTACCGGAACTTTGTTTTAGTGTGGGAAGACTCAGAAGTCTGAGTAGTTTTATCCAAATTGTTTTTATAGATATCTGCCTGCATGTCGTATGATCGTACTCAGTCACAGGATTTTCAGTAACTGGTTTATCTGGAAACATTGTCTAAACAAAACTTCTCTCAAGACAGATTTTCTCACTAACTGGAAATACGGAAAAAGAAAAAAAATACTGACATCTGAACTTCTTAAAAGATTTGGGTTGGACTTAATCTTGAAGTAAACCTTTGCACCTTTACCATTGAATGTAATCTTAAAGTCTGAGAAATATTACTCAAAATACTACTTTCAAATATTACTTTTCCTCGGCTGCAGTTTACATACGCGCAATAATATAACCCTTTCTCCCCATCTACTGCTTAAAAATAGGAGGAAGGAAGCTTTATGAAAGAAATTCCAACATGTTCACCAAAGCTGCCTGCAACAAAGACATTTAAGAGATGTAAACATTTTCAAATGATCCACAGGAAGGGAATGTAATAATTTTGATAAATAATACAACTGCCCTGGAGCTGAGAGAGAACTTGCACCCTTAAGGGGCTCTGAGTCAGACTCACCACGAACCCAGGCTTGCTTTAGTTTCCTTTGCTTTTACAGATCACTATCAACTCAGAATATTTTATATCTCTGTGATGAACAAAAGGCAGTTCTGGACTCTCTATGTGCTTGCCAATGACTGTGACTGCTTGTGATTTATAACCTTTATTGTTTGCTCTCCCTTGCCTCTTTAAGACAGCCCCCTGGCAGCAGCAGGGGAGGATGGTGGGAGGCATTGAGTGCAAAGCCTGGTATGCTGCCAAAAACTTAAAGTAAACAAGCTGAAACAGGAGAAGAAATCCATTAACTGCTTTCAGGTCTTAAGCTACTTATTGCAAAAGCAATGGATGGAATAAACAGTGGCAAAAATGATTAAACACATCGCAGGTTCACTGCTAGATCAGTTATCCTGAGATGAGCAAAATAGAGAGGGGAGTAAGGAAGCCCAGCTGGTGCTCCCAGCTCAGTGTCCATATCCTGGCTCACCAAACATGTTTTGGAATTACTTTTCTCACACAGTCCAGCACAAGTGGATATAAAAAAAAAAAAAAGGTTTATATTTTATCTTTATTTATCTATACAATCTATAGGTTCAGAAATTATAGTCTTAAAGTCTATTCACATTATGTGATGGACAGGAGTCCCCTGACCCCACTCCTGTGCACCACAATGCATGAGCTGTAGCTTCCCTTTTCAGTAAGATGTGGTACTATTTGGCTTTTGAGAGCTTGGACAACAGCACTAGGATTTTATGAGCATGGATGGCTGTCTAAAAGCCAATAACTGCTATGTCTCTTTGATTTGCTGGCCTAAGCTGGTAACAGAGTGATCAGTCCATGGATTTTGTTAGGTTAACAGCCCATTTTCTTTCCTTCCATTAGCAATGCTGTGCACCAGGGTTGCACGGATGAGCTCTCAACTTTTCTGAATAATTGTTGGAAATAACGGCATTATATCTGCTCTTTCATCAAGTGTGGGAAGTTCTTATACCTTTAGAAGAGGTTTTTGATTTCTTGCTATGTGTGAAAGACTTGCATGTGCATTTTCTTCATTCATTTCTTCTACTTAGACATAAAGTGCTAAGCTACCCTTGCAGAACAAACACAAGGCTAGATGGAGCTGAGCACGGCAACTGTGCATAAAGGAAGACAAAAAAACCCCTCCTGTTCCGAAATGTCTGTCAGGCTAAGAACAAAACCAACATAAGTAAATGGAGAATAAGTATAGGGGGTAAACATCCATCGCACTTCACCCCTCTGCCCCTGACTGTTTGAATTGTTCAATCCTTCACCAGAGATATTATGGAAGTATTTAATCAACGGGCAGGTATTACAGAATCACAGGATCAACCAGGTTGGAAAAGACCTTTAAGATTCAGTGAGAATATCTCATGCAGGTTTCAGTACAGAAGACATTTATGTCAGAAGTGGATATGAAGGCTAGCATGCTGATGTAGTTGTCATATACCTATTCAGTTTCCGCTGAACACTTCGCCTTTCCTCTTTCTACTCCTCCTTCCAACCTCTGCCCTTATTTCCCACCTCCCACCTCCTACTGATATTCCCTACTCCTCCTCATAAAAAGTAGGCAGAAGTTTAACCAGCCTAGAACTACTTCTAGAGGGTATCTAAGTCATTCCTGGTGTTTGGAGCAGCTTCAAGAAGTGGGATTGTGAGAAGCAAAATCTGGCATACTGAGTACACAGTTTTCACAGCTACCATTACAGGCTAGTATATAAATCTAGTATTGACACATTATTTTCTAGAACATAATTTCTCTCCAGTTATGGATCTAAGACTGGAGCAACAATGACAGGCTTCCATCTGAATCCAACATATGCTCACTTTGTAAGTAAATACTAGATGAAACCTGAATAAAATACTTACGCTTCAGGATATTCCTTTGCTCAAGCTCTTCAGTTGTAGGCCTCTGGCTAAGTCTCCTGTGAGAACAAAGTAAATGACTGATTTAAAACCAGATCCAAATAATACATGATGATTTGTAATACAGCTTAAAAGGTGTTTCTCATACAGCCAGGCTATTCTTTGCCAGCAGAGGCGTTCAACAAATCAGGTAATTTCCAGATGGTTAAAATAACTGTGCATGTAACCACAGTACTGCATGGCCATTTGGTTTAATATATGTACTGCTACCACTCAAACACTGAAATAACTGATGCCTGCATAATATTAAAGAAATTGTATCAGCAGATTTAACTTCCTCATTTACAATTTTATGAAAGAAATTCATAAACCTTTTTTGTTCCCAGGCACCCTCATTATAAGATATGCAATTAATTGCTAGGTTATTCTCAGATATCTTGAACTAAAATCCTATTCATTAAAAAACCCCACAAAAGCTGTGCATTACTCACTCTTTTCTACGTACAAGTGGGAGCTTTAATCGAACCTTAACTTTATTCAGTTACCTACAAATAACAACTGCCATTAAAAAAAAGTACTAATTTTCTGGTTTAAACAGTGGAGAACACGTTTGCTGCTGTGTCTGTGTTGCCTACCAGACAAGTTCACTCGGTTCACTTGAGAAAAGCAGCAGGAAAATACTCAGCAGTAAAATCTGTTAAAATATTACTATGTTAAAGATAGCTGCCTCTCTGTTCAGCAAACCTCACACAGTTCACTATGAATCATCTTCAGCTTCAAACCATGCTTGGACTTTCAGGTTTGGTGGGGAAGACTGGCAGGTTTACCATGGGTGACCAGCCCCTGCTGTAGTAAGCCCCAGGCAGGACCTGACCTGACTCTACCCAGCTGTGGGAATCAGTTTTCCATCAGACCTCAATGTTGCCATATGCTGACTGCCACTGCAGGAATTTTTAAGGAACTGGCATCAGACTTGGTTGTGATTTCAGGCATGGACATCATCTCCTGCCACCTCAGCTTCCTGGCAGAACCACCAGTGTCCCTGCACAAGAAGTTCAGGGCAGGAATCAGCAGTTCAAGCCTCTGAGCGACACTGACAAGCAGGATGTGATCATCAGAGCTGGGATTCAGTCAGGAAAGCAGAGATAACAACCACACCACTTTATTAGCAGAAGAAAAATGACCCTTGGGCTCTACACAATAGATGTGTCACTGTCATGGCTAAGGGATGAAAGAAACGACACAGCCCATCATCATAGAGCAACTCAGCTCATCTTCTAAGCGCTGATGCAAGGCTGCGGTACTCCGTACCAGAGCAGTACTGGCTGGACCACCCGGTATCTGGAAATCTCCAATAAACACAGGACATCCTGCAAATCTATCTGGACATTTCTGAGCACATGAGAAACAAGGACAGGTCTGGGAAAATCCAGACATTTTGTAGTCTATTTTCAGAGATCATGAAAGCCAAAATTAACATTTCTAAGGATTAAAAAAAAAAAAAAAGCTTGTAAAAATGCAAGTGAAAATTAATCTCTTTTAATGCAATGTTCTCAAGTCCAGAAAGAGAAAATTAAACAGCATGAGAAAGACATTCCTCAGAGGTGGGCACATGTCCTGGGTTTAGCAGTAGCAGTCATTTTTCTCTTTCTTGGTAGCTGGTGCAGTGCTGTGTTTTGACTTTCAGCTGGGAACAGAGCTGAAAACAATGATGTTTTGGTTTGGCCAAGGACTTTGTGAGCCTCATGCTCTGACAGGGAGCAGGGAAGCTGGGAGGAAGCAGAGACAGGACACCTGACCCAAACTGACCAAAGAGGTATTCCATACCACAGCACATCATGCCCAGGAGGTAACTGAGAGTTACCCGGAAGGGCTGGCTCACTGCGGGGTTGGAGGAGGTATCGGTTGGTGCTTGGTCGGGCTGGGGGGGTGAGTTATTGGTCGGCTGGTGCTGAGGTGTTGTATTCTCTTCCCTTGTTATTTCCTTTATCATTACTATTATTGGTGGCAGCAGTAGTGATTTGTGTTATACCTTAGTTACTAAACTGTTCTTATCTCAACCCGTGGGAGTTGCATTCTTTCTGATTCTCCTCTCCGTCCCTCCAGGAGTAGGGGGAGGGCAAGAAGGGGGGGGGGGAGGGGGTGAACAAGCTGTCTTGGCTGAGGTTAAACCACAACAGCGCAGTAAACAAAGTCTGCCTCCTTCCATTTCTTTTGCTGGAACCAGCACATGAATAATGAGAGAGTTAGAGAATAGGAGGAGGATGGGGAGGGCATGAATGAACATGCACAGGCATGCTCTGTGTGTCAGGAACTACTGCTCTGACCAAGACAGGTATATATAATCTCTAACATACTGTGATATAAGTCCAAGTCTTTGCTAACCTATTTGAGAAAAAAGTTGAGCTGTGGCACTGACTGCTATGGAGTCACTCTTATTCTCTTCCTCTTTATTTTTTTATTTTTAAACCAAACAACCCAACCTCCCCTAACCCTAACCCTAACTCCAACCCCAAGCCCCCCTAAAGCTTTCAGATTTGTTTCCTGCAGGACAAAAATGCATTACTGACATTTTAAAGTTTTGTGAGAAATAAAACTGCTGTTTTCCAGACAGTTGTACCACAAAGATCCTGCACTGCATATTGGGCTGCATTTAAACTTGAACCCAGGGTTTTCGATTCTCTTCCCCCATCTCGGCCCAATGAAATCGCATTTACCCTGCAACTGATACCTCACTAGCTTCGTTCCAATCTGATGTCTGATTTCCTGCCTCTCCTCTTCAGATGTCCTCTGCAAGATGTTTTTGTCTTCTAATTCTTTCTTAGATGGTCTGTTGCCAAGTTTGATAGCAAGAGTATCCCTTCGACGAATTTTACTTGCCAAAGAGCCTGAGGAAAGGAGGAGAAGGGTAGATTCAGTTCATTCATACTTAGGTTACAGACACAAACTCTGAGTAAGAACTTGAATACCTTCCCAAAGCAGCCATGTTCCCACATGCAGAAGAATTTTAATTAACATCAAAAGAGAAGTAGTTTTAGCTCAGTTCACAACAATAAAAAGCTGAAGGGCCTGGATGAAAGAGCTACCAGCCACATTGATAGGGGAGTTTCACAAACATCACTTGTCATCTGTGAGTGACAGGATAAAAATGACAAATTTATACTTAAGTGCCATTGAAATATGATACATTACAGGTTGGTTTATTTATCCACTTAGTATATTTAGCAAGCTGCTGCTCTTTTTCTTCAGCCTTAGTGGTTTAGCCTCGTTCTTTCATAATTTCCCTCATTCTCTCCATTTTTTTTTCAATCTAATGCCACTTATTTCTTCCATAGTGCTTTCAGACTTTAACTGATTTGTAAATTAAAACAAAAATACAGTTTAGAAAAGTGCTCTGAGTGCTTGTACAGTGACCTAGACAGGAACCCCCAGGCACTGAAGCAATCTGTTTGTCCATTAAACAGATATAGTAGAGACAAGGGTCATGCAATTTTGTTAGCCATAGCCACAGCCAGATGTGGAAGGAAGAGTATTTTTCGTGGCCTTTAGTCCTTCCCTTGTATCTTGGTATTTTGACTGAGGGGGCTACCTACGCCCTAGGCTGGCAGATATTCACCTCATCATAACACAGTTTGGTAACACCACAAACTCCCAGCTCACTTCTCGTAAGACATGTGCTGCTGTCTGAATACATGATTTTTTGGTTGCTACCACTTTGGATGGTATTCAAACCAAATGCAGAACTGCAGAAACTTCATCCTCTTGATCTATCTGGCACATCAGCTTCTGCTGCACCAGTGGCCAAGGAAAAAACACAAACGTTCATTTTCCCTCATCCCCCTTTGGTACACAGCACTTCAGCTTCAGGCAAAGGTGCAGCCATCGGGTGAGCAGGATCAGGGAACTGATCCTATTGAAAATCAGCTCAACGACAGCCACCACTGCAAAAAATAAACATTTTTGCTGGCCTAAGGGAAGAATGAACAGCTGGGAGCAGGGATTAGGCAGAAGGTAGGCAGGACAACCCCCTTCAGCAGCAGCAAGGACATCTGTCAAATTAGGGTGATAATATAGTCATGACTCCAGATGAAATTTCAAAGCTGTAAAATTAGATGTAATCCACTGCGATCTCCTCTGCCTGTTAAGGTGCTCCAATGCTTAAAACATCCTGATCAAAGAGGAACAAATTACTTTGAGACAGTGAAGCTGCTGACTCATGGGCTTCCTCTACTGTCTACCAAAGACTGTTACTCCCACAAGACACTCTGGGATATCTATTGCAGTGCTCGTGTCACTAGCTGAAGGTCACACTGGTTGTTTTAAGGGCAGAGGTTCATGACATGGGCAAGACAAATCAGTGGCTTTCTGATGTCCTAAAGCGTGGGCCTTTTTTCACCCTCATGTTCTTCTGAGCCTGTTCCTCCTATCTCTACTTCTATCCTTGCAATGCTTGATCTGCTCTCATCATTGCATAGGTCCCAGGTGGTTTCTGATCACAGCTGTTAGGCAGAAGTGGGACACCCATTTCTCCATAGTGGCAAAAGAATGAATCATCTAAACCCACCCCATGCAGCCATACCTCTCTTTACTTCACACTAAAATGGGTCAGGCATGCTCACGTAATGCAATGGGGAAAAGGTAACCTGCAACTTCTTGGTGGGATGCTTACTTTCAGCACTTGCATTATCATCATCATCATCATCATCTGTGTACAGTATTGGCCCATCAGAGTCTGAGTCGCTGCTGTGGCTCTCTCTGCTGCTTTCACTCTCAGGAGGAGCAGCAGTGTCAGAAGCCTCCTCCACCAGTTCAGAGTGTGCCTGGTCAGGTGCCTCCCCTTCCTGGTCTTCCTTGGGAGCTAAGCTGTCAATTCATAAGCAGACACGGTGTCACATTAACGCAAGCAGCACAGAACACAAATGGGAGACAGACTGTATAAGCAAGTACGAACATAAAAGTTCTGTTATTCAGATTAACTTCCCTCTTTCTAAAAAAGTTACATATATAAAACATATATAAAGAATGCAGATATATACATGTATGCGTATGTATGTATGTATGTATGTTACAAAAAAAGTTGCAAATGATCTGGAATGTTGTGCTGCAAAGCCTGTACAAAATAAAATCCTAATTCTATTTTATTGCTTGTATGATGTGACCAACAGTGTATAAAGTTTACTAAGAAGATAAAAACAGCGCATGAAGCTGGGGGTGAGAGAAGCAAGCCATAGAGCAGATGGGAATGTAAAGCTTCCTGTTCTGGAAGTGTATCTCTATTTATTTTAAATGCAGTTTTACTGCTGTTGAGTCCAAAATATTCATGCCCGTCACTGATGAACATTGAAAACAGCAGCAGAGCACCATTTGCCTTAGAAAAACCTTCATGTAAAGGAAGAGCAGAGTAAGGGGAGAAGCAGTGCAGTATCATAATGCTGACACAGATGTACTAGCAGGAATTTAAAGGAGTCTCTAGGCCACTGACATCTAGACTAAACCCTCTTGGGTTGTTATGAAAGTTCCTGTGGCAGGGAAATGACAGATTAATAAGCCAGTTTAATTTGCTGCCAACTATTTCTTTTAAAAAATGTAATTATGACCTTTCTCTTGACTAGATTTTATAGTATCTGAGACCCAGACAAGCTACTAGGCAGTGACAGACCAAACACCTACTAAGCAAGGCCTGAAACTGTCATTTTCAAGTGTGCAAGTAAATTCAGCTATTGAATTGAGAGCTTTAGCAGTGAGATACTTAACAATATCCACAAAAAAAAACCAAACCAAAACAAAAAAACCCTTGTAACTCAGCAGTATTTCTTGTTTGCCTTTATGAGAGAGAAATAAAAGTGTTATCAGCTACTGGCTGAACTGCTGAACACAGCGGTCTCATTAAGCCACACGATGTAGGAGGCAGGTTATGAGCAATGACCTTCTTGGGAAAAATGAGGTACAGCAGGTGACTGGCTCAAAGGCACTCTCAAGGAACAAAATGTGCTGGAATGCAACACCAACCATTACCAGTCAGCAGAAGAAACAGAAGAGATCCCCATGTGCCTGCAGCATCCCTTACTTGAAGGGATGTGGCTTCCTTGGCTGTGGGTCTTACCATTCACCCATGACAGCCATACCACCTTACCTCTTCGTGTCTCCTCCACCAGCATCTGGACCACTGTCTAGGGCTTGGCTCTCGTCTGTGCCATGCTCAATTTGGAGAGGAGGCTTAGCATCTGATCCAGGGACAGCTGGCCCTGCTGCACAGCCATCTGACACATCTTGGGCATCTGAAGAGACAGTGAGCTGACCTGATCCAGCAGGAAAAGGAGGTGGAAGCGGAGGTGGAGGAGGGGCAGAGGTGGGAGGAGGGGGCACAACAAGCTTGCTCTCTTGGTTTGCATCCTCTGTTTCTGAAATCCGCATGGAAGGTTGCTCAGGTTCAAGTTTTTTTGCCTTTACTTCCAAACTGTTGGCTGTGGCACCTGAGGGGGAAGAAGCAGCTCCATCTGGCGCTGTTCGTGGGGCTGAATGTTTCCCAGTTTTTTTCTTGCCCCTGGGAGTCCCTGATGTGCTTGATTTGCTGGAAGTCTCCTTAGAGGCCTTGGGATGAGATGATGTGGATGGAGATGGTGATGAAGAGGACTTGGAGACTAGCGTTTTTTTCACATGAGAGGAACCAGCTAAAAGAAGAAAAGAAAAACCCTTTTACACTCTCATAACTACTTGAATTTTGCTCCATTCCTTCTGCATGTATTGACATACTGGTATTTAAAAAATGAAAAATATTACACTTGATACTTCTACAATCCAATTATATGCTTGAGACAAGTAAATGCTGCTGTTCAGGTTTCACCTTTAAGATGGGAAAAACTGAAACCATGCTAGAATCAAAGTCTCAGGCAAGAACAGTGGAAAGGTTCAACCTTACAAATGGGTGATTCTAGCATTCTGCATTGGCCCATTAAAACTTGCCTGGGTAAAAAGAATCCACTGTTTATTCCCAATGTGTTTAGTGCCCTATTTAAGAAGAAAAACCCTGCTACTAGAGGTTAGATTAAATTGTGTGACCTTTCCTATTATGTGAATTTTCATCTGAGCACTAGGAGAACACCATGATTTTCCTTATGCTTTTTAGTGAACACCTCAGGACCATTACAGATATAAATTACTTTTCACAGTAAGTGAAAGTGGTGTACTCCTAGTTAATGGCAAGCAGCATAGGGACAGCAAACCAAGATGTACTTTCAAGTCCAGCTGGGCCTGTTCATAAAACAAGAGGCAGAAACAACTGATCTCACTCAGCAGAAATGCTCTCCAGAAGGGAGAAGGCACTGAAGGCCTCTTGCATATACTAGGAGTTTTAATCTTACCAGTGACCAACGGAGGTAGCCTTGAAAACGTAGCGAAACAAGGTTTTGACACTAGCTGTACAAGCTAGTCCTGAGATGCTGCTGTTTAATCCTATGACACTTACCATATTGAAGCGTTTATGCACAATGCCTAAGTTTGAAAGATATTTCATGTAGCCTGCATGCCCATATGCATTCCAGCCACATTTCTGATTGCTGTGTTGATGCACCCATCATCTGGACTGAGAGCTTCAAACTTCTGACTTTCATTTAAAAAGCAATAAAAATGACAACCATCTTATGATCCAGTCCTTTTCATCAAAATGCATCCAACTCAAACACGTCTGCTGTAGTAAAAATGCATTATCCTCCAGAGAACGAATGAAAGCATTATAAAGCTACACAGCAGCCTTGCGGCTAAGCTTATTGAGTCAAACAGAAAGCTGTAACAAAAATCTCCTGAAAGGCCTACTTCACTTATAAGCATTTAAATGAAAACAAAACCCCAGCAGATTAGGACAGGCCCAAAATACAGATACTGGCCATAATAAGCTCACGATATAAAAATAGCTTTCACAGTGAGAGTGTTCTCAGTCTCAAAGATGGAAAACAATTCAAAAGACACATTATACTGTCCTCTTCTGTGGCTGAGTGTTATGATTTATAAACAGAGTGCTGTGAGGCTTTCAGTACATCTGGAAAAATCCACAGAAACTTCAGGCAAATCACTGGCCCTCTTTGTGCTGCAAGGTCATTGTAAAGGGCACTGTACCGAATCCACTGATACTGCACTAAGCATCCACATCAAGTACAAATCACTGACTTAATTTACCAGCAAAACAAAAGGAAGCAAAGAAATGGTATAGGCAGCAGTTCCTAACTGCAGTGGAAATAGAGAGTGGCTCCAATCTGCATATTATTTAGCAGAAACCTCACTGAGTAAGTGTATGGTAGTAAGAAAGGGCTCTGGTTCTCATCCAGCAAAGCACTTCAACACAGGTTGGAAGTTCAGCAGAACCAGTTACATGCTTATACTTAAGAAGTCCAGCATAATACAGATATACAGCCACATTATAATTATTGCTGGGAAAATGTCAAAAGATGTTTCCATTGAAAAAAAAAAAAAGCCTTAAATTATTCTCAGAACCTTTCTGGACCTCCAATCAAGATACAGAAATTGGAATAATTTCTCCCAAGAAAAATCCTCCTGCATTTTTTTGCAGGTCAAAAGTGCTATTGCTAATGTTGCTTTTGACTGGGCTGGCTGACAATTTTCTGTCATGCCTCTTTGTTGGGGGAAGATTTGAATTTTGATTAAATGAAAAATTTCACGGCTGTTATTTGCCTTTTGGCACATGTCCACGCTTGTGTTTAAGTCCCCTTCTCCCAGTTCCACTACTTCAGTTTGAAAACCTGCTTTGGTACCCTCAGGAGAGCTACGGCTCAGTTGTTACTTGTATTCCTTTTCTCCTTCACAGGATGGATCACTGGCTGCATCATGCATTCACTTTCACAGGAAACCAACAAACCTCTTGTACTAATGGTGCTCCCAGTCAGCTGTACTTACAAAGTATTGCCTCAATTCAGATGATCACAATGTACTTTTAATGTTGGAAGAAATTACCATAAGAACAGGTACCTTTTTTTTTAGGGATACATGGATGTATTTTACACCACTGTGGTCTCAAGCACTGCATGATGTTTCACAGCAAGACTACTGGAAGACAAATCTGGAATATTAATGTATTTGAACTTAAGAACTTGGATACCTGAGTTTGTTACCAGCCACTGGTCTGAACATTTCTTAATGCAACTGGCTGTTTTATTTCTGCTGCTATAAGGTTCTTTTACCTAAGAAAAACTGAATTTTCAGCTGCATGTGAAATACACACAGCAAATTCTGGGTTTTCAAAATGTTTATGCTTCTGGTCATCTGATGCAGTAGGGACAGTTAATACCAAGTTAATGGACACTTTATGGCAGAGTTATTATTGTAACTCTAGCAGTCTTGCAATGTTTTCAAACAGTCCTCTTCTGTATGCTTCGAATACAAAATGTGCCAAAATGTACAAGCTACAAAAGGGTATACTTGGGAAGAAAACTGGAGGGACTGAAGAGCTTTCAAAGACTTACCGAGGATTGAAATTGCAAGGCTTATATAAGTTTATCAGTGCATACATACAGCCCATTCATCACAATACAGCTTGTGTTCAAATTACATTTGGAGGTTTTAATTCTGGTCATTATCTAAATTATGGCTATTCAAACTCAAAATCAGTACCTTAAAAACAGCTACTTACAATCTTTAATCTAGTATCACTGCTGAATTTTGGTTTAAAAATATAGGGATAAACACATCTGCTATGTGCCTGATGATTGACATCTTCCATTTCCAGGGCACATTTAGAATCACACCAAGGCAGCAACCATCTCAGGGAAGCCTGGCTATTTCTAATGGTTACAATTCTTTTAATTGTTTTGCTTGTTTTTGTTTGGTTTGGTGTTGTTGCTTTGTTTTGTTGGGGTTTTTTTTCAAGTAAAACAGCTGGTCCTCAACAGTCTTCAAAGATGTCTTCACAGTTCTATCTTTTACCTCTCTGAGATCTTATAATCTTGTCAAATTAACTGCAATAGTAGGTATCTCCAGCAGAAAGTTACAGCAATGCCATAGCAATTTTACTTTGGGACACCTCATATGTTTCGTTTCAGAAGTCACCTTTTTTCCTGCTGATTCTTCAGCAGTTCTTTGGGTTATTTTGTTGCCAGCATTCACACACAAACTGGGAATTCAATATTGTCTCTGGTGTGCTTGGTGTTGTGCACACATTCTTTAAACAGCAAAGTGATCTGTCCGGGGTGTTTGCAGACAGCAGAACCAGAGCTCGACAGGAAGCTGAGCAGGAAAAACATCCATGGCATGCTCTTTACTAACGCTGCTATGTACAAAGGCAGAGTTTATTGTCAGACCAAGCCAAGCACCCCCATGCACATGCACCCACCAGAACTGGCACTGCCTGTGCAGTACTCACCAGTGTCTCGATTTGCACCGTGACTTGTTGGCTTGGGTGGTGGGAGAGGAGGCTGCTTAGCAGGAGCCTTTCCCTTTTTTTTAGCATGAGGTGCTTCGTTACTCTTATGGCTGGTGGTGGTGGAAGCAGCAATAGTGTTTTTTGGTGGTAGCGGAGCTTTTTTGGATTTAGGCTTAGGCTTGGGTAGTGGTGGAGCATGGGATGCCGGTATTTCTGGGCAGTGATCAGTAGTGCTCTCTATGGATAAGAAAGTGAACAGAAGCCAACACATATAACGCCACATACATTCAACAACAAGCCTGACAATGATGACTACTTTTTGCTGCTTGAGCTCTTGGGAATCAGGAGAGACTTCATCTTCAGCCTCTTACTGAAGTATTATCCCAGAAAAAATTACCATCCATCTCAGTTGAAGTCCTCCTCATGGAAGATTTTTGCCTGGCACTTCTCTCAGTCTCATCTACTCTAGACCTGCAAGGATCATTCCTAGTGTTCAGTATGCCCAACTAGACTACTGGCTGAAAACTAAACAAGGGAAATGACATTTCCTCTTCTAACGAATTCCCTCAGCTTCTTTCCAGCCCTCTGAGAACAAAAGGCTATAAAACTCAGATTCACATGAACCTGAATGTGAACAGGACCATTCTCTCAGCCATGGGTTCAAATATGGCTATGCAGCTGAAACTTTCCTCTGAAGCAACCCACACTCCTAAGCTGCAAGCTGCTTACTCACTGCAACTTTATTTTGGGTATCTTCCCCAGGGTATTTCTACCCTTCACAAAGAGATGAAGCTAAATCAAATAGCATATCATTTGCCATGGGAACGCTCTCCTATCCTGCAAGCTCTTTGTGTACTGTTACAAGACTGCACTTTCAACAGTCATTTCCTTAGTCAATAGGAATTTGGACTGTATATATAGTGTCATGCAATAGAAATGGCTCTGTAGAGTGAAAGAGGCAGCACTGAGGACCCAATGTCCACAGTGTGCATTTCAGGAGACGGCTTTGGACTAGCTTCAGGCTAGTGCTCTAGATTGCATGCCCAGTAGTGTTGGGAACACAAGTTCCTGAACACAAGTTTTGGCTTAGTTTCATCCAAAAGAAACCTGGCTTGTGTGTTCTGCACACCAAAGAAGGGTAAGTGGGAAAGTGCCATGGAAATTAACTTCAAAACTGCAAGCCTAATGCCAACTGTACTGTTAATGTAGGTGAGCCATTTATAGTCAACATAAAATTTTGCAACATAATCACTATGGTTGTAAGACTAGCTGTTCCTAGATAGGAACAGCTGAAGTTCCCAGATGGGAATCTTTATCTATTCACCTACACCAACTTTGCCCTTTTGGCCTCAAGATAGCCTTCCCAAACCTTCCAGAAAAAGAGTATCATAAAAGCAAGAGCATACCACCAGAATCATATTGGCTTTATTTTCATGTTACTATAAACTACAGGGGTTGGGGAAGAAAGGAGGCAAGCAAACATTGCAAGGACTTCTATCAGTCGCTTATCACTCAAGAGAAAACCAATTCATTCCTTGCAGTATATTCTTACTACAGCCTCACAGTTCCACATATTAAATGTCCATTCCTCATGCTCCTCCTTCCCATGTAAAAGATTCCCAAGAGATAAGCAGCACCTTTTCATTCTAAGATTAGTAGATGAAAAACAAATAACGTGTTTGACAACAGAGACATTCTTCATCTCAGAAACAAAGCCTTTTCAGCCTCTGGCTTAAGGCTTGTTAACATGGACCTAATGTGTTACCTGCAGTTATTAAAAGCAGCATGCACGCATTATATCTCTTAATGAACTGAAGGAATTAACACCAGCAGTCCAGTGGCTTCGTCCTTCAATTCCAGCCCATTACAGACTAATAAGGTTTCGCTATTATTTTGCAAAAAACAATGCATAGCAACGTTTTACAGCTTTCAAACAGATTCTTTTGAGCAGATTCTTGTACTGCCTTTTTATTTTACAGAGAAAGAACTCCAAACCAGATACAGACTTTGGAAAAGAAAGAAACATACATATTTGTTACATGTTGCTCCCCTCTTTTATAGCAAAATGCACCTCTTTGTGAATTTCTACCTACCTTCATTCAAAGTTGAAAAACTGATGTAATTCTGAAAAAGCAGGACATTTAAAAATTTTAACTCCATTTATAACACACATGTCAAAATAAGATTTTATATTTTAAAGATCTTGAAGGCCACAATGATCAGAAAGAATTTCAAGTCTAAAAGATTTTTTTATGTACCTTATAGGTCCAACAGGCTAAAATTTTATTTACTAAAAAGAAAAAAAAATTAAAACTTGTGTACTACCATTACAGTGTTTTGTTTTCAGTCACATTAGCAGAGAAAATACTAAAAAAGAGAATGATAACCTAGTAAAAAGAAATACATCAATCACCGTATTCTAAAGTAAAACAGTGCAATTATTTAGAATCTCAATCAATCTACATTAAAGTACATAACTGATTAAATAATGTATATTAGAATTTATCTTCTGATTCAGGAAAAAAGTACAAAATATAGGGCTAAAGCTTCACTTGGTTGCAAATAAATATATCTTAGTGAAAATCAACTAATAATTTTTACATTTTCTTTAGAGAAAGAACAAAAAACTATAAATGAAAACAAAAAATTAAATGGTTCATTCACATCAAAACTCTTGCTTGTAGACTTCAGTTATGATTAAAACTGGCAATTTATATAACATTGATTTTAAATGAAATACTATGCCATCACTGTGATCATTTTTCTCTAGGATCACTCTTTCCAAGCTGTTATGTACATCACACTGTACTGGCAGACCCTTTGTGCTCAGCAGCATCCTATCTGCTCAGACACTTACAGCACTCACTGAGTCTTGACTGCCCCTTCATTATGTACATGCCCTTTCCTTGGCCTTGACCAATGAATCCGCTTTTTGCACACAGCCATGAGGAAGGCTATAGTGAAGATGATTACCTTTGACCACATCATCCCTCTTGTCATCCTGTTAGCTTTGTTGTTTTTATCTTTGTTAGCTTCCTCTTTTTTATCTGATCAGATACAAACTTGACTGCTCCCAGTGTTTGTCTGATCTTGCTCAAACTATTGTTTTTTATTTACTCTTGGGATATGCATTTCCAGTTCTTACCTGAACATTATACCAAAGAAGCAAGGTTTTGAAGCAGATGTTTTTCATTACTATTCTTCTGCTGCCTCTCAGGCTTTGTGAACAGTCACTATCCTCCCTCAAGTTCCCCTTTGCTGTTATGCTAAAGCTGTCCATTTTTAGGCTGCTGGCATTGTGCTTGTTATCCTGGTCTGGGTTCCCTCTTCTTTTTCAGTGCCTAGCCACAGTATCCTCTCTTTCAGTGCAAGTACGTTGAAGCTTTTTGAGGGTTTTCTGCATTTTTGTAAGATGTTACAATAAATCCCTGGTATATACAAAAGTACTGTAGCAATACAAACAACCAATAATGGCAACGGTGGCTTGATCTTGAACAGGACAGGGATGGTCTGATGTCTGTAAATGGCTCCAGATAGAATTATGTTGTAATTGTACCTCCCTAACATGATTCTGCTTGAATATGGACCCTTGGTCTTCATGCCTGTTCTTTCTTTTGCATTTTTTGCCAAAACAAGGAGGCATCTGAGTCAGTTCAGACCCATCTGTTTGCTCAAGCCAATCTCCCAGGTAACCTCAGCACCAGCTGCAATGTATTCATATTACTGCTGTTTTTCCTAATGTAGACATCTGTTCATCACAATCTGACCTTCTAACTAAAGGTCTCAAAAGACCACCAGATAGGAGTATTTTTTGTTCACTGCTGCCCTGATCAAGACATTTGCTGTAAAAACAATCTGTCTATAAATTACTCTTTAAATAGAAAAGCAAAGCAAATATTAATATCTCATTAAGCATTTGATTCAATATGTTTATGTTTAGAATATATTTTCCAAAGGTCAGATTTTCAAGAAAGCTCATTTTGAGATGATATTTTCTTGTTTCCAGAAACTGTGACTGGGGCCAGACTCAAAGCCATGTTCTCATGTAAACACCTAAATGATGGTCAGGGTTACAAAGTACTCAGTATACAACAGCTCTCGTGGGGATTCGTGAAGCCTCAAAGACTTTCGGCAAGATGCCAATGTGCCATATGCACTGGAAAATCAGATTACTTATTTTGGATGCTAAATGTGGGACTTTTTACAAACTCTGGACCAAATGGACCTATGAAAATCCCGGCCATTGTTGCAGAAGCCATACATGACTGGGTTGTATAATGCAATTTTTTTTTCTTCACCTTTGTAAACTTCTAAGGAACCAAAGGTCAAAGCTTTTCCACCCCAGGACTTTGTCATACAGTGCTGATATTTTTGTTTCTACAGCTAGAGCAGTGACATGAAGCTAGCTCATGGAAAACCAGTAATGCTGTAGCACAAGCATATAATCTACATCAAATGCAAAGCATCCTTCTCCTGGAAGAGGAGCACAATTGAGTGGAGTAACACTGTGCAAAATGGAAGTTGCAAATAATGTATGATTTGTTGTCTTTTGCAGGATAACTTCCTGCAAAATAAAACTCACTGAGAGTTTTCAGAATCATGAGTTTCCTTTCTGGCGTGCAGAGAGAGCTGTGTTTAGATTAATCAAAACCCAGGAAGCTGCCATTCAGGAATATGGGACACAGGGCAACACAAGGTGTCTTTTGTCTCTTTTTTGGACTCACTGACTGTGCTGATGCAGGTGGTCAACTCATACAAATCCTTTCATAAACTTAGATTCAGCCAGCTCCATTTTTGTTCCTGCTATGCTACTAAAATTCTGTTCAAGAAAAGACCCATTCTAATTGTTAGAAAGCTTCCTTTAATTTCTAGTCTAAATGTATTTCAAGGCACTGTTTATTCCTTTCTACTTGTGCCAGCATTGTCCTTCAACCATGTTCTCTCCTGGCTATATACCAACTGTTACATTCATCAAACACACTCAGGCTCTCTCAGGCTCCGTTTTGCTAGGCTGAACAAGAACAGCTGTCTCATGATGCTTTTTGCAGCTCTTTTCAGTTTTGAATTAATCTTTCTTAGAGATGGATGAGCAGATCTGTATGTCTGCAGACTTCCAGATCTTACTCTGTGATTTCAGCAGCACCATGTCCAAGAGGCTATGTAACAGAGACAGCATAGAAAACAGGAGAGAGGAGCAAAGGACAGGTGTAACATCTGACCTAAAGCAACCACGTTCAGATATTTTGCATTGGTTCCAAGATAAAAAAGGAAAGAAAAACAACCAACAAACCAAACATTGACTGTAATTTTATATTAGTAACTGTCCAACTTTTGTGTAAAAATAAGCTGTTAAATTAAGACAGAATACTAAAACATCTTTACTGTCAGCTGCACACTTTCACCATCTTTTGGCCTATGTAAGACTTGAAAAGTCAAAGGCATGTAGGCTTCTACGTTCCCTTACACTTTCTGTATAGATATGCTCAAACAATTAAATGGTTAGTTCATTAAAATCATGTCTACCGCCTTCTTTCTGGAGCCACATTAAGGATATCTTTCCTATAAAAAAGAAATAAAGTAGTAGCAGTTTTACAAATCAGTGGCTTTCCTCTGGCACTCAACTTCTGTGGGTGAAAGCCCGTGCCTCTCATGTCACCCTACTGGCATGAGCCAGCCTGGCTGACTTAGTGGACAGGCTCTGCCCAACTACATTTATCTAGCATAGCTTTCCTTTTAAGAAGATTTGGATTCAGCCTCATTTACATAGTTCAGGTGATGAATTGAAGATATACTATTCTTAGAAGAATCGGTTCTAGCCAGCAAATAACTCAGCTGGTGTGAGAGATTCTTTGGGAGTCAGGCAAAAAAAAGAACAACATAACCAAAAAACCTTTTATGTATGGTGCTCATATCAATAATCTACAGAGCTCAGGAGTGTAGGAGGCCAGCTAGGCATGCAAGAGGGAAGAAAGTCTGCCTTGTCTCTCACAGTGAGTGGTCCGCAGCATTAGTTTTCTGAGGGAAAGCAGGCCCTTGGCTGAGATCCTGGAAGATGAGGGTTACTATCTTAAATTCATCAGGTTTTGTTCCACTTTGGGGGAATAAAGTGAAGATTTCTGAGAAAATGAACCTAGAAAAATTGACTTTGGAGAACGTTCCTTGGTAGACAAACTAAAGCGCTGGTCAGCAACAATGCATGCTTGTAAGCCCAGAGCTTGTCTTTTTTTGACACCCACGAGAAAAAGAAAAGATTAAAGCTAATGTCAGACTTAAGGGAGAGCAAACCAAGAGGAAAGAACCCAATGAACTAAGACCTAGAAATTTTGCCAGCTCTGATATTAGATTTATCTTGTGGGGAAAAAAAATTATGCAGATTTGTCCCATGAATTCATTTGTAAACAGGTCTACAAACTGTTTCCTTCACAGAAGGACAAAAGAAAAGCTGAGAGGATCAGTCTGCTATCAGTGCCATGGGAATATTTCAGAAGCTTAGGCTTTGTATCACCCAAAACACCCACAACAGAGCTCTGGCTTCCTGCATTGCAATTGTTTATCAAACACACCTGACTGATAGCATGCAAAAAGAAACTTCTTGCTGCTTTTTTCCGGCAGTCTCATGCTAACGGTTACTGAGCCTTTCACTTCCTCAAGCCCAAGCTAACAACGAAATGTGAAAGTGTCTACCAGTATCATGAAAACATTTACCTTGCTATGATATAAATGAGCAAGACCTAAGTTTACAAACATAACTCAGATACAACCTCATGGTTCTGTGTTACGTCTCTGTGCCAGAGACATTCTGGGAGGATGAAAGCAGAAAAGCAGCCCTGACACAGCACTGGGAGGTTTTACAATGTGCAGCATGCCTGCCATATGAGTATGCTCTGCCCCTATACCTAGGGAGGCAAACAGTGACAATTTTGACACCTATTCCACTGATGTGGCTTTTAGTCTTCCTCAACAGTGCTGAATGGGGCAGAAAGCAGAGGCTCCCTGGATCCCCTTTGCAATGCTCATACCACTCCTGGAACCTGAAGCATTGGTTAGGCTTAGGCTTCTGCAAGCATTGGTTAGGCTTAGGCTTCTGCAGGCAAGTGCCAGAGGTCAAGAGCCCTGGCATGATGGTAAAGTTCAGGCTGCTGCCCAGGCAACCAGGGTGTACTTTGACATGTTGCCTGTCTACCTCCTGCTCTGTATCCCTTCCAGGGTGCTCACAGAGAATGGGTACAGTTCAGCTGTTTATTTTCTGCAAAAGATGCTAGGGACTTTCCTTAGTCAAAACAAAAGAATTCAGAATTCAACTCAGTACAAACATAACGTGAATAAATGGGCCAGGAAAAGTATTTCTCTGAGTCCGTATCTGCAAAGCTTTATCCCATCTATTACCTGGTTTATGTAAAACTGTCACCAGCTTCTTATTATCCTGCCATAAAGGAGATCTCTCTTTAAACACCCTGCCTGGATGACTGACATCATTACTGCAAACAGTAACAGTTCCACTATTAAATTGGCAAAAGGCATTTTTTTTTTCACCAAGCACAAAAGGCACCTGTGAACTGAACAGGCAGCAGATGGGGGTACACAGTTTATGGAGCTGCCTGGCAGCACAGGGAACAGATTTCAGGGGTCGTCTTCTTTGCCCACTTCTGCTTAACTCACTTTTACATTGTGTGGCTGAGCCCTCTCTCTGCCCTGTTGATACTGTATTTCCATGGCTTATCCTTAAACAACTTTTTTCATGTAAATTCTTCTAAGTCCCAACACATTATGCACTCTACCACGCATTGTGCTCCCATATGATCACAATGTGCCTATATCACTTGTTCTTTTTAAGTTTCCAGCTCCAGTAGGCATCACCATATTCATATGAGAAGGCCGTTTTCAAGACCTGCTGAACAAGGGAGCAAGTAAATACCACCATCATTGCAGAAAAGCAGTTTATAATAACTTCAGAACTTTCAGGAGCTGAGATGCATTTTTTGGAATATTTTGATTCAGCCAGAGTTGGAACTCTGTGCTACTACATGGCAGGAATTAATCCTATGTGACAAACATGGAAAGTGTATGTAACTTCCTTCAAGATTTACCCATAAGAATTCATGACTCTAAAAAGCCTAACATCAACCTTCCTGAAGATGAACTCCTTGCATCCATTACTCCTGGGATACTGTCCAGCTAGTATTCACTGCACCTATCTCAGTTCTCACGACAGAGGGCTGTGATCTGAAGCACCAGCATGTTTCATCGTCTGAGCAGAAGACAGTGTTTTCAGAATAGTTTCAGAAACATTCAGAATGACTGAAGTGTATTCACAGTGACTATCCAGTCAGTTGTACTGGATTTGCACTGTGTAACATTGCTGCTGATGTGTGGAACTGATCCTTAACACCTTTTTTGGGGCAAATATTCCTCTGCAATAAATCTGTTTTCCTTTTCAGGGCAATTCAAGATTTTTACATGTAGAAGAACTTCATGTTTAGATATAAAAAGAAAGTATACTTAAAGTACTTTGCATTTCTATATGGTCAGATTGGCATTATATGAAGCCTAGAACACCAAGTTTACTCTTTTTTGTTCTCCTTCCTCCATATATACTTAATTTTCTGAGAAGGACTGGAGTGATAGCTGCATATTCTTCTGTACTGGGTCTACTCCTGAACAGAAATCTTCTCTAATTTCTCCCTGTAAGGTCAACCCAACATACAGGAAGTGCAGGGTGCAATAATGTGTTTGAAATAGATATTGAGCCTTTCCTGCTTCAGTGGAGTTCTACATTCTGCAAAGTCAGCCAGAGGGGATTTCAACAGAGTTAGAAATGTGTATTTCTAAAAAAAAATCTGTACCTTAGGAAAACTTCCAAGACTTGACAGTTCCAAAGGCTGTATTTAGGGATGCATAAAATAATAAGTGGTCTGATCTAACACCAAAGTTAACCTGAACCATTTTAAAGGTGTTTTCCATGGCTTTTATAATTCTTTTCCCCTGACCCAAGACACATCTGGTTCTAGTTGGCACCAAAAGATAGACATATTTAAATGTCATGAAAAAAGGCTAATCTTGTATTATTGTCTTGCTGAGAGACAGGAAGTACTAGAAATCTCACTAAAAAGGCTGCTCTCCTTGGAAATCCAGCTACTTTTTACATGGTCAAGTGATTTACATAGCTCAGAGAAGAATTCAAATTTTTGTGTTAGCTGAACTGACCTTCTCAACCTCCAGAGGCTCATTCATCACTAGGTAGAGGTTACTAGAAGGCATTGGAAAGGCTGCTCAGTCTTACAGCCAGCCATGGAGTTCTTGATCGCTTGTGTCCTTGCTCTTTTGGAAAATCCAATAAATGGAATAGTATTTAAGAAAACTTTTTGACAGGGAAAAGAAGCAGTGCATTACTTAAGATGCTACAGAAAGAAAACTGGTCCAAATCTTGCCATTCTGCGTTAATCTTTACTTTTACCTTATTCAGTCAAACTCTTGTTTCCAAGGTAGATTTGAGTAGAGGTAATTACATTAATATGAACTCTGGGACTGCTGAATATTTAGCAGTATTACTGCAATTCATCTACAGAAAACCCTATAATCATAAGGCATATTTTCCATAAATGTGGTAGTGATATTGCCCTTTTCATATTTCTGCAGACTGGATAGCAAGTGCTTAAGATCTAATGAAAACCAATAGCAATGAGTTGCTGCAGCTACTTTTAAAATGATACATGGTTTTTAAGCGGCTTTAACACTTGAACATTCAACCCATGAGCCACTTCTACAATGATACTACAAGGTGATGCATATGCACTTAGTGTCTCCTTTCACAAAAGGAAAACCTGAAAACAAAGCTTGCCATGGCCACAAGGAAAGGCTCACATTGAATTTAGAAATCAAACATCATTGCACACATTTTCATGCTCTGACCGTGCTTCTCTTTATGTCCTTACTACATCCACAGTAAAAGGCATGCCTACCAGTGAAGAAATAGTGATGTTTCACAAGTCTTACCTTTTCAGTAGGTTCTGCTGGCTTCTTTATGGCAGAACAGAACTCAAAGCATGTATTAGAAGACTGTGTTAATACTTTAAGTATGTAAAAAATACTTTGTGAAGAATGTGTTTGCTTACCTTTTTGATCCTCTTTTTTCCCTTCCAATGCCGATGCTTTCTCTGATGAAATACCATTATCTCCACTGGCTTTTAGCACATTTTCTTCCTGTATGGTTTCTTCACCAATGGCTATGGTGTGTCCATTTGAAGTTTCAAAATTTACTGTTACATCACCATCTGAAATGAGGATTAAAAAGCTGTTGCCTAGTTTAACTGCTTCCTTAGCACCTATTAACAACCCACAGCATCCCTGTGCTTTCAAGTTTCCATGGAAGCAAAGCAGAAAGACTTACTCAGATGTGAAACATCCAGGCGGCAGATCTGATCTGAAAAGTAACTCTGTAAAGGAACTCTATAGGCTTCCACATCCTCTAGGTGCATACCTCTGCAGTAGTGGGCCTGGAAGTGCATGTAGGTTTTCAGGTCCAGCTTTGCATCTGTACACATTAATGTCCCGTTCTCTTCCTCCCTGCACCTTGATTTACCCAGCAAAGAAATGTGTGCATGGACCACAATGGAGCTGCAATGTGTTCCAATATGCCCCAAATACAGACAATTAGGGGGCAGAATTGCATGACTACTGTGGTGCATCCCAGCAGGTAAATCAGTCAGGAATTCAGACAGAAGTTCTCAGAATACATGTGCTCAGTTAATGAATTCAAGAATCAAGGTGAAGTCTTCCTGCATCCCATATCACACACCATTATTACATTCTGCATTAAATTCTTTCCCAGCTCTGATGACATTTTACTCACCCAGACTACCTCAAATACAAAGTTCTTTTTAAAATCTGAAAAAAACCTTCTTTCCCTTTTTATTTTTCTCTATATTTCTGAAAAATGCCACAGACTGTTGCCGGTTCACAGCTTGGTTTTGTCCCATATTTAATGCTTCCTGTTCTCTTTGCTGTGATTTTCTTCTCTGGTCATTTCTAAGGCTTGCTATCCTTGGTTGCTCTCGCCCCACCTGCAGTTAACCCAGATGACTGCTTTACTTCTGCAGAATTCTATTGCTGACCATGCAAAAATTATGCAAATTGACTGGGCATCTCTTCTGGTTCCTCCCACTGGTTCTGCATTAATTGTGGTAAATCCACTCTCTTCTTCTTCTCCTCTTCCTTGCTGTGTGCTATCAGACCTGGATGTTTGGCATTTCTCTGGTTTCAATACAACTACACAGCCTCTCTTTTACCACCTCAGGTGCTCCATGGGTTAAACTGATGGCTTCATTCTCACCCATACACTGACTTCAACTTGAATTGTAGAAACTAAGTTCTGCCTTCTTAACTTTGTCTCTTTCACTCTAAGCTGACAGTTGCACAAAGCTTCCTTCTTACCTTACCATAACATTCAATTTCTTTAGCTTCTCTCTTCCAAATGTTCATAAATCCATTATTTCCTTTCTGCTTCTGCCTATGGCACTTATTTCTGTCATGGTTCTGCAAACACCTCCTGCTACCAAAGTGGCACTTGCCATTTTCCACTTGATTGTTCTTCATCAGCATGAAACACTGTCACTTCTTCTTATTTCTCACATTTCAAAACTCCATGTAATTTCTTCATTTAGCTTTTCTCTCCAGTCATTCCTTCTAACTGCCTTCGCACTGCTCAACAACCATCTTTCTGTATCTCCAGTTTTAGCATCTTCAAACCAATTCTATATTCTTTCAAAATGAGCCTTAAAAAAATTGTAATTTTCATGAGACATAGAGTACAGCATGATGAAGGCAACACCGACTGGATCGAAGGCCTTCTTAAGATGGGAGGAAGGAGAGAAAATTGTTCATCTTTATGTCCTTTTCTCACTTTGTTCAACCTCCATAAGGGACCAAATTCCATTTTAAGAATGGAATAGAGGGTCAAGGACACTGATGACCAAAGCATACATACTTTTAGCACAAATTGTATTATTTATGTTCAGATTGTAACCATCCTGAAGTGTTAGCGCATTTCATTAATTATCCCAGCAGTCCAAACACAATTTACAACCCCCAATGGAAAAAGTGAGGCAGCTCCCCAGTAAAGCAGACAGTAAAACATAACAAATTCACAGATGGGCAAACTGAAGTATGGAGAAACTACACATCTTGTTTTAAGACAAAGACAGTGGCAGAGACAAATTTAGAAGCCAGTTATGCTGAATGTCATAGTCTGGTAATTAGCAAAACACTGCAAAGACAAGCGATGTCACGTGTCAACAAACAAGCCCTTTACTTCTAAATATCAATGTGTATGATATGAAGCATACACACTGATTCTTTCAGGATTCTTCTGCTCAGGAAGAGTAACACAATTTCTAGGAGAAAAATAATTCTGGGGATCATGGAATTCTTATACTCTTTCATAAAATGATAAATGGCTTAATTTCAAGCTACAGAAAGTTATTTTACTCACTTTTTAATTTGATCTTACAGAAGATCATAGAATCACAGAATGGTTTGGGCTGGAAAGGACCTTAAGATCATCTAGTTCCAACCCCCCTGCCATAAGCAGGGACGCTTCACACTAGACTCTGTCTCTCAAGGCTCTGTCCAGCCTGGCCTTGAACACTGCCGGGGATGAAGCATTCACAGCTACTTTGGGCAACCCATTCCAGTGCCTAACCACCCTTACAGTAAAGAACTTCTTCCTTATATCTAACCTAAACTTCCCCTGTTTAAGTTTGAATCCATTACCCCTTGTCCTATTGCTGTAGTCCCTGATGAAAAGTCCTTTGCTGGCATCCTTGTAGACCCCCTTCAGATATTGGAAGGCTGCTATGAGGTCTCCACACAAGATCAAGAATATTAGAAAGAATACCATTAGAAATATAAACAGACGTAGCACAGAGGTATTAACTATGGCTTACTCGTGTTTTTCAAAACACAAATTCTGGTTAATATCAGTTATTCAACCTTACAGCATTTTGAAACAAATGACATCTTCCCCACAGTTTTATGTCTGTGCCATTTGTGAATGTGGTCTGTGTGATAGTGGTAGGTTCTATATGACCCCAGCACTGGTACTTTTTGATATCTGAAACGGATGCTATTGATTTGCTTGGGGTCCCAAAGCCTCTAATTTTTCAGCTAATATTTTTGACATTATACTTGAGTTGCTTTAGGCAGCAGACCTTGACTCAAAAAACATGTTAATCACTACCTCCAAAATATTCTGTTAAACAGTAAGTAGAAACCACAAAGGTCACATTATTTACAGGGAGCACCAAAATAGTTAAGGGCATGACCAGAAGTCATGTGATATACCTATGGCAGGAGTTACAGAACACAGATCTCAACTCCAACTTCAGTTCTTTGTCAACTGGCCCAAATATCCTCTCACACTCATCTTTGTCTCTGCATACCTATTTACACTACATTGAAACAATGCAATAGTGGTTTTATTATCCATGTTTAGCACTTAGTAGCTAAATTCTAGTTAACATGTTATCACCTTGCTCTGGCATTTCCTTCAGCACTCCCCTTCTTATCAGCTCCTCTCTGCTTTGTCTTGTCGAAATCTTCCTTTCCAACACTAAAGAAAAAGCACAGTTAAGAATAGATTTATTCTCATACTGCCAATGCCTGTGAAATAGGTACAAAAATACTTTTATTGTATGGTAACCTTGAGAAATCTCATTCCCTGTGATTCTGTAGAAGTAGTCTGGCTTTTCATGAATGCTCTTTGAAAGTATTGTTCCACACGTTCAGGCACAGAAGGTGAGGATTTATATGATCCAGTATCTTCAGCTGAGCAAGACTCTGTGAGGGTTCTTTTCCAGTCAATGGAAAAAGGTACTTCCTAGAATGAAACTGAACTCACCCTAGTGCAGGAATTTAACATGTAAAAGCATCTCTTTCCCATGGACTGGATTGACTAGCTTAGCTGGAGATACCTCCTTCTGCTTTGTAGATGTTTTGAGTTGGGAGAAAGACAAATCCTGATCAGAGGAAGCAACTCACGGAGTAGCCTTTGTGCAGCAAACTGTTTTAAAGGGAAAAAACCCCCAAACCAACCAAACCTGAAACAGAGGCTAGAAAGCTGTGTTCTAAAAGGAAATAACATCCAGGCTGGTTGGCTTTCATGGAAAAAAATACAGCATCCTGGTTTTAGTTTAAAAAAAACCTCAACATACATCAGAAAATTAAAAAAAAAAAAAAAAAAGGACAAAAAAAGATTCTGTCATGAAGCATTTTAATTATTACGGTTATTTCCCATGGAAAAATGCTCAATAGTTTTATAAGAAAAAGCGTTTACAGATGGCAAAACGTAATATGAACCCACTGCACCCCACCCCTAAACCAACACCAATTTGCTCAGTGATCTGGGAAGCTACCGTAATGATCCGTGAAACAATGGTGCATGGACCATAAAATGTGAGCATCATTGACTGTTAGGAAAGATTGACCTCTCACCCTGGTTTTGTTTACACACAGTCATCAAAACCCGAGTGATGTTTGGAGCATACGGCAAAGCTTCAGCTGGCTATACTTCACCCTACTAATTCTATGGGATAGGATTATTTATGTCATCAGATAATTCAAACAGTCTCTAGAGCCAGTCTAACTGTTGCATGCAGATTAAATACTGCAACAACTACTGTCAATCTCACTTGTACCAGCCCAGTTGGAAGGAACACCCATACAGTGAAGTGGTGGCTCCTGTGAAGTCACAGAGAGAGGCAGTTTGGCTCTTTTGAGAAAGTTACTCTCCATGCGCAGCAAAACATCTTTCCCTGCAGCAACTCAAAACCAGGCTGGCTGACCTCAGATGCTTGATGACAGCACTGCTCATGGCTTTTTACTTCCCCTCTCCACAATGGAAGGGGACAGTTGATCAGAGAATGAAGCAGATTCTGTGCACCTCAAATTTACAGCACTGAATTTATGTCTCACACTGCAAAGTGAGGGGATTCAGCAACTGCATCAATAGGATGCATTTCCCTGCCAAAATAGCACCTGCTCCAGGCAGCAGAACTGAGGGCAGCAACCATCTTGACTGGTCCAGATCAAACTACCTGTGCCTAAGAGATCAAGAGCTCATGAATGAAAACAGTACTGGCTCAAGAACATGTAAGTTGGCATTGGTCAGTGTTTGTATACTCAAGTACTTTGTGGGATCTGTCTGTTAAAGATCAAACCTTCACGCCCTTCAAATCACATCTGACAATATAAAGGAGCCCATGAGTGTGGCTGCAGACTCTCAGTACAAGCCAGACACCTTGGGGAGGAGTGTGGTAGCCTAAACACAGATCAGGTTAGACTGGGTCCCAATCTTAAATGATTCAGGAGTTCTTCCAGTTTTTCTCCATTGTTTTTTAAGGTATATGCTTTGTAACTGTGTGTCACACATTGCCATGACAAATAAAACACAAGAGCATGCCCTGTTCTTGCAAAGGGTTTTAAATATAGATGAACATTCAGTCCAACAAAGACTGCTTTAAAAGAGATGAGGGGCCATGAAGTCAGAGGACTATGTGGGCAGGCACAGATGGAGGGTCTTAATCTTTCTGGAAAGGTGTATTTTCCAGCAGAGTGAAATCTCTTCTGACATAGACCCCAGCGATGAACTCTTTGTGCACATACTTTATATCCCTTTTGTTGTTTGAAATACAAGTATTATTTCAGGTTTACAAATATTATTTACTTCCTACTATTCTTCCTTCCTCTTCCTTTCCCCATCTCTTTTCCTGGGGACAGTGAACTGAGATGGTCTCTCATATATTTATTTGTAGGACTTACTCCAATACCACTTGAAAATGACGATGACCTTTACATGAAGTTCAAGAACACTGAATGAGACCCCACATCAGTGTCTCTCTAGTTTTCAGGATGATATATTTTTTCAGTTCTACAATACTGAATGAATTATCATAGAAAATGTCAACTGGCATTAAAAGACATTAACTCCTTACATTTTTATTGGAAGAACCTTAAAGTATTTTATCAACATTGCATAGGTTTTGTAATATCCCTTAGACATAACTATTGCCATTTCACAGATTAGAAATTTATGACCAGATAAGAAGCTTAAGACCAAATCCTTCATCATCCAAAATGCTAGCCATGAGTGGAGTTTTATTTAAACTGATTAAGCTCAGTTAATTCAGCTTGAAAAGATAAGTTATTTAAATTACTATTTGGCCCATGGAAAGAACATTAGAAATCATGCTAGTATCACTATGAGTGCCTTCATAATTTTATTTCCTACAAAGAAAAAGGAAGAATTTTAATTTAAATCAAAGTGTCCATAAGTATGTCTCCTTGAATAGAATGAGTAGCCTGTCTACTTATGAACCTACACTGCGTGCTATTTAGCCAGGGTGGACTCATCATTATAATTTATTGCTTATTACAGACTTTAGACTATACAAGACATTTAAACAGACAAGTATGTTGATTATCACAGCCCAATTGCACTGAGCTCCAGAAGACTCAAAAAGTCCCATGTAAAAATCCTTCCCCTACTGCAGTCAAAAGCAGGTGTAACTGTCAGAAATCAGGTGCATCTGTAACACTGTATGCAGCCCTCATTTACTTGCATAAATCTTACTCACCCAAAGGATCCCACAAACATTTGCATTTTTAGCCCAATACAAATAACAGTTACACTAATCATAAGTCACCTCAAAAAGCCATTTCCATCCCTCTCTCCCTACCCCCATAAACATTAAGCAGTCTTAAAACTCATTCCCTGATTCAAAGAATGCTCTGCGATTCTGGACATTCTCCAGTCTTTAGTTTTGCTCTTCCAAAAGAAGCTTGAGAAATTGGATTTTTAATTTTTCTCTGACCTAGGAAGAGCTAAAATTGCCTTCTGCTCCCTGTCTGTATATACTCTTGCTGTAGAGCTTTGAAGTTGCAACCACTTCGTGCCAAGACACAAACTGCTGCTTTCTTTTCCTTCACAGGAAAACATTGCAGAGGGGATAAACCCTTGAGATGATGCCATTTACTGTTTGTTTTTACTTAATTTTGAAAGCCCTCTAGGCAGAAAGTATACAACCATGCCCACAGAACAGATTTTCTGAGATACAGCATGGAAAATATGTTGCTAAAGGAAAAAATTCCAACCATCATTCCCACATTGGGAACAGATACTTCCACATTTAGTCCCCCATATTTTTTTTGATGTCTGTGATAGTTGCTGTTTCTGAATGTCTTTCAGTTGCTACCATAAGGGACTCACGTGAGATCTTGTGAAAGCACTGCATGGTACATACCCTGGCAAGGCTGGAGCAAGAAGCTATTTCAAAAAGCCTACTGAAAACTCAGAGAAAGCAGTAAAGAGTTCTTTCCAATAGCCTGCATTCTGTGTTAGAATAAACTTTTTCTTCAGCTGAACACAGATTTATCAAGTTGTAGCCCTGTTAAGGGAATAGGCAATAAATACGCTGATCATTCTACTGTCTCCCATGGTCTCAGCCCTGGAAATGGGCTTCCTGCATGTAAGATGCACGCACGCACACATACATACACACAGACCTCCCATTCTGTAATGTAAATAAATCTCTGATCGTGCAGTCTGAGGAGGAGGATTTTCTGTAGGATTTTTATTTTCTATGGACTTTTTCCCATTTCTTTCTCAAGTTAGATAAGCAAGTTTCTTCTTCTGTGTCAATTATCACTCAACAAGGGTCAACTTGAGAAGTAAATGCACCCTCTCAGTGTCTGTTGGGTCCTGAGTCTGTTTCTTCAAGAAATATAGGGATAACTATTGTTTTTAATTCCCCTCCCCAAAACTACTATCTGAGGCAGGATGAATGCAACTGAAACTACTTTTCATTTCAAATTCCAGCCTCACATGAAGCACATATACAAACGTAAGTAATTCTATACCTTACATACGTAGAGCTTAAAAGCAAGTAAGTATCTCATTACAGCTCTAGGCCTTCCTGACAGTAAAATAGTCCTCAACCATTTAAAGATATACTTTCACTGCAAGCTAACCTGATTTGTGCTGAAAACTTACAGCTCATTCATGGTGCAGCTGAGGCCAGCACCCTGTCTGTTTCTGGGATTTCTGGAAACACAACCCTTACCTTAATGCTGTAGAACAGTACAATTTATAACTATTATCCTCTATAAGGAAATATGTGGGGAATTAATCTGCATTTCTAGCCAAGACAGAGGAGAAACTACAGGAGGGCACTTGAGGTCAACACAAACTACTCTGGATCACTCTTATGAGCACTACCAGTACTTACACTGGGTAACTACCTTCAATGAAAGTTTTGTAAAGGCCACAGCAGGCTGCTGGCAGAGGTTGGAAAGTACAACCAGGCTTGGGAGAAAATGTGTCTTGTATGTAGATAGGAAGGTAAATATCAGTAACACTTAAGCAAGACTATAAACTATATGTGCCTTAAAGAGATACTCCAAATCCTCACTCTGTGGAGATAAGTTAATACTTGCATACATTCTTCTTTGTCAACATAAAAGCTCTGGAAACTGGTCTTGTGCCACTTTCACATTTCCAACTGCCTGAATGTGCAGGTCACAACTTAGAGAGTCAGAAGGGGCAAAACTCTCACATGAAATTAAAACTAATATGATACGATAATAATTTGGGAACCTTTCATTTATTTTTAGAACTCATCCTGTCCAGATTTACTTTCTTTTCGTCTCCCCAGCTTAGAAAGCCAGTCTTGCTGTTTCTGAGGTTAAAGTCAAGATTTGCAGGTATTACAAAAATCCTAGTTTCAATTTAAGAAAAGAAGCACTGAAAATTGCAATGGTCAATGGTTGACAAAATGCATGTAAACTGGGACATACAAATACAAGCTGATATGCTGAACGCACAAGATGATACCAAAGTTTTGAAAATCTGAAATGAATTCCCTGCATTGTTATGTTTTTATAATACCACCTAAATAAATAAGATTTTACAGTGTAGCAGGATAGATAAGCAGGACATTATTAAAACCAGAGGAGATGTAGTCCTTTAGAGAAAGAAAAAAAAATTAATCTACTGAATAATGGGAAAATATCAGAAGTCCCCAAATCTCCTATAAAATATCTTAAGGTCTGTTCACCAAGACATGCACTAAATTTTGCATAGTTAGTCGTCACAAATCATTCAGGCACTGAAAGACTGTAGTTTATATAAGAGTTGTTTTGTGTTTTATTAGCTATTTTGTATTATGTTATTAAATATAATTGCAGTCCTTAATGTATAAAAGCTCGATATGTACTACATTGATGGCTATCTAGCAGGATGCTAGCTAAACAATGAAGTAAAAAATTAAAGGTTTTTCAGGATAATTTAAGTCTATATAGATGGTAGTTTTAGATACACAAGATACATGAAGCAATTAGGGAATCAATTACATTAGTTGCTTTTTTGCCACAAAGGACTATTAAATATACAGTCTTGTGACTGGACTTAGAGCAGAGATTTCAGTTAGTCATCTAAGTGTTACATCCTCCTACATTGAACTTTTGCCCTTAGCTTTAGCATTTACAGAGGTATTTCATTGTGCAGATAATTAACTTCCACTTTTCAATACATAATTATAAATAAACATATATTCAATTGACCAAAAGAGCTCCCACTTATATGATCTATGGACTCTTAACTATCTTTCAGCATTGACTCTGTTCTTCTGCTAATTTGCAGTGGAAATTCTCCTCACTTACATGTATTTCTGTTTGCACACTGTCGCTCCCCATTTTCAAGAAAACACTGATCACAGAACTAAAGCTTTGACTTTGAAAAACAGACAAGGAGGTCTATATTACTCTTTTAGTTCCCAGACTTGGAATGCACTGCTGCAAAACCACAGCTGAAATGAAAAAAAAAAAACCCAGGTTGTCTAAATTTTAAGAAGTCATCCAAAAGAGTGGGTCTGTTTTTCCTCTCTGCTTCAGCATGCTTTATTTATAGTAATCACATTTGATAGTAATTACCAAGCGGTAACCTTCACAGGACAGTTAAAACTACTTCTTCAGTTTTGCTGGATTTGTTTTTAGCTGGATCAGGTGTGTGATCTGTTCATCTGTTCACTGGTGCCAGTCCAGAGGCAGTGGAGGCAGACAGATAGAGCTGAGAGAACTGGGAAGACAAATTACCACTTGAAAACTAGTTTTGAGGTAGGGAAGATGGATGCTGATTCCCAGTAATGACCTCTTTCTTAAGAGTAATAAATACACTGGGAGCACACAGGGCAAAATCAGATTCAAAACGTAAAACATTACACATACTCTGCTGTAATGTGATTAGCACCTTAGTGCTGATGGTCTAGGCATATGAATGCGGCAAGGTTCAGGGAGAGAACAACCTTCACTACTAACTAGTGTGGCTGTAGAGCATCTGAAAAAGATACTTTGTGAGTCAAAGTTTGTTTATTTGTATCTATAGCATAGTTTTAAAGCTGAATTTTAATTACAATTCTGAGATTAGTTTCTGTTTTCTGTCCATTACAGCTACTGCTGGGCACTTCCGTTTTTCAGGTGCTCACCTTGAAATAATTTCAACTGTCCTGAGTAAGTCAGTGCAATGGGAACCATGGGTTCTCCACACCCCTGAAAGGACTTGAGGGACCACACCATCATAAACAAGAGAATCAAATTAAGTACACACAAGTAGCTAAAGAGGCACTTTTGGAAACGTTGCCCTCATTTTCTTTGTTTCGTAAAAGAAATACAAACACATGATTTGCTTTGGTATTACAAGAACTGATGTGTCATGCTTGTAAGACTAGATTGAGTCCCTCTAAAGCCAGTACCGTGTAAGAAATACTGTACTTAATATGAATTTACCAGACATTCACTTGTAAAACAACTCTGCCAAATGACACATGCATTATTATTTAATAGCATAACAATTTAACATATGCTAATATGTTGTGACAGTTTGAGGAATCTCTCCATACACAGCATATGAATGGTGATTATTCTGAAGGATTTGGTGCCTATAAAATCACATACCTGTCCAACAGCAGCTGCAGAACATCCAGGAGTCATTAACTAGAAATAACTTTGCTCTAGCGATATGATAAAAGTACTGGGGAAGCTGAAGGAAACTGAAAGCAACGAAGGAAATGTCAGACTCAGGGAATTTCTTTGATTGCAGCAGTGGAAGAAGTTGTGGGGGTTTTCTTGCAGGGTATGTGGGAAAATTTTAAAAACAAGAAAGAAGAGACAGACAGGAGGATCTGAAGACCCCAGAAAGGCTGTCCAAGACTTCAGCTGGTATCTGGAGTGATGAAGACACCAGAGAAGATGTTTTCTTTTTGCTTTTTTGTGTAAAGAAAATATAGTTTAGAAGTTAACTTGTAAAACCAGAATGTTCCTTGCAGTAATTGCCAGAGGCTGGTACGGTGTTAAAATGGCAAGCAGTGTACTCCTAACAGTTCAGGAGACACTGCTGATGAGACCTTAGGAGACTAGTATTGGTTTTATTGCCTAGAGCCATGGAAGACAGCGGACAGAGGGCTTGCACCGTGGTAATGAATCTGAAGAGCTCATAGATGCTCACTGGACTCTGAGTTGACTCAAGTTTACAACAGCACAGCATCAAGTGTCTGAATCCCAAAACAGAAATTTGAGATTTTTTTGAGAAAGCTTGGACAGAGCTGTGACACACAAAGACACACACACATATATGCAGGGTAGTGTTCAGTTTCCTAAACTTGGGTGTCTACAGCCACTTGAGATGCCCCACAGTTTTGGAAATGTCTGTACAGAAATGGCAAATATGACACAGAGCCTTCTGGGGAGCAGCCCAGAGCACCTCAGGTGGCACCTGGCAATTGTGTTCAGCTAACTGAATCCCAGCCCTCACATATTCCTCTTTTTCAGAAGGAATGTAATTCAATCACAGCATTTTATTTCAGACCATTCTTCAAGCCTTGCCAGGTGGGGGCAGAACAGCTTGTATGAAGGCAGTGGTGACAAAGCTGATCCTCGTTCTTCTGCTGGGCACGGCTACGTCTGCTTCTCTACCTCCAAGACAGACCAAACTTCTGTCCCCATGAAGGCAAGGTTTGTTTCATAATGCAAGCCATTGACTATTAGGGGGACATTTCCAACATATCTGAGAATATGTAATATACAGCCTAGTGTGTTTCTTGGTTAAAAAACAAAGTACTATCAACATCGAAAGAATATCACATATAATGTAGAGCAAACAAACTGCATATTTTTGGTGATAAGCTCAGAAAAGAAGCTGAACAAAATTAAGTTTTTAACTTGCTAAGGATCAGACTGTTTTTCTCTATGTCAAATACTGTGCCTAAACGATCCCTGCCATCTAAAAAGCACCAAGAGCTTTTCAAATATTACTCTGTAAAGCCATCACCATGTTTCCTATTCTTTTCCACCAGAAGGCCACAGACATACCTGCTGAAGTTTCTCTGAATTTGTCACTAGTCTTCTTCTTCCGCCATTTCCAAGGTTTAAAGATTTTGCCAATGGTGGAGAGTTTGCCCTTCCTCTTGAAAGGGGGAGTTTGGGATCCTGGGGCCGGTCCACCCGAGTTAGCGATTGAAGCTTTATCCAAACCATCAACTGTATAAACAAGAAAAGTAAAGGTAACTGGAGGATGGAAAACAAAATGGTACCTGACAGCTAAACTCTTCCACTATCAGATTGCAGCAGGCTGTGTTTGGATCCATGTGATTTCTGTTCCAGTTGGCAGCCAAGGGCCATTTGATTGCAGCATATGGTCAGAAGCCAGCCTGCACCCCAGCTAGCCCTGGCCTCCACTGCTGCTCAGCACCTCAACTGCAGCAAGCCAGAATTTGCTTCTCATAATGTATATCTGGCAAGTCTGCATAGCACTGTGGTTTTCCACTGCTACTGGAGAATTTCTTTGAACATATATTTGGGTGACTTTTTCCCTGCCTTTGACAAAACTGAATAGCTGTCACCTTATAGAAAACAAAACTCTTGCAGTGTAAAAAATAAATGATTTCTTTTGAATGAAACAAATCCTTTCTTGAATGAACTCTAAAGATAGTTGTTCTGGAAGTGGAATGGAAATAGGTCTCTTTGATATCCCTGGTAATCAGTCATTCACAGCATAGCCTGCCGTGAGTCAGGTTTCTTATTAACAAAACATATCTAACAATAAGCTTTTGAGCTATAGCCAAAATTTAACGGAGGATTACTTTTCTGCAAAAACATACTGGGTGATATGAAAGACAATATTTATCATTAATGGCTGTAACAATTGAGTTTTGTGAACCAAATTAAGACTCATTCCACAACATGCTGCAGCATACAGTTAGTTTCGTGGACATTTCCCTGAGAAGTCCACTACTATTTATTTCTATTTTAGAACAGGTTTCTTAGAGCCTTCCATTCATGGACCTGCAAACACTTCAAATACTCTTATTTTTATTCACGTGAGCAGCTTCACTGCAGTAACTGCTGTTAACTTACGTACATAAAATTAATCACAGGCTTAAATGTTTGCGGCATACGGACTCTGTAATTGCTTTCATTCATCTAAACATTCTAATTATAACCAATTCAGAACAGAGTTGATGCCACTCTGAACAGTAATAACGATAATCATAGATCATTAAATCAAAAAGTGCTATTCAAAGGAAACATCACTGTCCCCATTTTACAGATGGAAGATATGAGGCACAGAATTGTTAAGTGCTTAATTTCATGTTTGCCAAATGGCTTCCTGAATCCTGGTCCTGTGTCCTAGTTGCTAAAAAGATACATATTCAGGCACATAACATCATTGTACAATCTTACTATTCTGTTTCTTGTACAAATGGCATTTAATGAGTCCTATATTTGTCCTAGACTTTAGATTGATACAGGATGCTAAGAAAAAAATATCTTTCCTGTGAGAAAGCTGATGTAATGCAAACTGAGTCCAAGAAACTTTGCTTCCAATGTTTTGAAATAAAGTACTGGGGAAAAAGATCCATTGTATACCTTTATTCAAGTCTGTGGAGTTAAAATCAGAGATAAATTTGTATGAAAATGATAGCATTTAAATCAATAAATCTCAGTTATACCATAAAATGTAACAAATTCTGCACTGTCAGACAGAAGGACCAGAGATATGGAAAACTTCCCCATGACAAATTACTGTTGTTCAGATGGATTGAAATTTAAAGCATTTATTTGAGTGATTGCCTTGGGTATTTTCTGATCTGTAACATGAAGATGGAAGAAAGTCATGTAAAAGGATTTGAAATGTAAAATCCAAGATTATCGCAAGGGCTCAGGTATGTCTAACCCTTAAGAGAGTACTAAACCCCGTCTTCCTCACTTGTGCACCCTAGAGAACAAGGCACTCTTCAGGGAGGTATACTCTGAGACTCCCTTAAAACCAGCTGCCATCCTACACACCCTGAGAAGCCAGGTGAGAGGTGGGGATGAGAAGACCACCAAAGGCAGCAAGCAACTCCACAGAAAGAGAGGGGTATGGGACAGCAGAAGGACCCTGGCAGGGGTGCCTTGCCTGGAATTAGGGACTGCGCTTTTGTTTAGGCTTACAGACACTGCTTATGGAGGGCAATTCCCTATGGAATACAGATGCCTCTGCTGAAAATAATGTATCTAAGGAAGTACATTTACTTGAAGAGTAGTTACAAAGGAAGAGAACTAAACTTCTCTTGGCAATTCCAACTTACATAAGAAGGGACAAGGGCCACAACTTATGGCTGGAAAATGTCCACTGAGTTGTAAGGAAAACGCTTCCAGGAGATGGGTGGTGCAGCAGTGGAGGTCTTGGGAGGTTTTGGAGGCTCAGTCAGGCAAGCCAGGGCTGACCTCACCTAATGCTGGTAATAGCCCTACTCTGAGTGAGGGACTGGACCAAGTGACCCCCCAAGGTCTCAATCAAGATTTCCATGGTCCTAAGGGATGTGGAAAGACACAGTTGCTCTGTGAAATCAGCGTTAGTAAACCCAAGGAATCAGAAGTGAAGTGCTGAAGAAAGGACATGAGGATCTGTTGGCTGAAGAGTTTTGTCCTGGGACAGGAGCCAAGCATTATCTCACTGGCAGAGGCAGTCCATCAGCTCATTAGAGCGAAAGGCTACCCGCCCTTTGGAGGCAGCGGGACAAAACCCATGTTCTTGTCTCCAAACAGTTTAGAAAGGCTGGGTTATTGATGTGAAGAGCCTGCACCCTGGTGATAGACAGCATGATCTTTATGACTACTAGAACATAGATCTTTTCAAATCCGCCCGGGGTCATGGAGTCCAGCCTCTTGCAGGCAACCACTTCCACAAAAGCCGCATCTATATTTTTTCCTCCTGTGCCTACCAGCAGGAATGGAGGATTATAGCTCCAATAGCTCCCCACAGAGAAACAGGGAGTTGCATCAGTCCGTGCTCTGCCCTCTGCTGAAAATATTTAACTCTGAAATAATGACATTCATCCTAGCTAAAGAAATCTGACTGCTTCAGATGAGCTAATATATGAAAAAGGACCCATTTAGTGATGAACAATTCTGTTCAGGAAGACTGCCACTTCTGAAAACAGGATTCAATAATAACTCCTTCCAACAGTAAAAGATGAGGAATTGATTTACCAAATGAGTTCAATAAGTCCTCATAATTGAAAATTTACTAATCCACTGGCCTTATACCAGTTCCTTCATTTGAAAAAAGGACTCAAATATTGATCTGGAAAGGAGCAATAAGCACAGCCAAACATCACAGACTTTAGAAATAATCTAAGATAGAATAACATTTCTAGGAAAAAAAGACTTATTTATATTCAAAAGCAATCATAAGATAACACATTTTACCAATTAATAAACTGCCTAGAAAAAACAAAAACAAAAAACAAAACCCCAAAACCAAACCAAATACAAGTTCAGCAATGACGTTCCTGAGCATTTATGGAAAGATCTTTTCCAAAGCTATTACCCCTCATCTCTGAAACACTCAGCAGCAAATTGATTATTTGCTTTATAGGTCAAGTATTACCTAAAAATAAAGCAGTATATTTTTCACCTCAGAGAGCTTGTGTACCTTCTATTAATCATTATGAACATTATACATACTCACTGAAATTAAAAGAAACATCTTAGATTTCCAAGATTAGAGGAGCTTGGTCATTTGTGTTACTCTTTTCTTTGTTACAATGTCATGAAGTCCTGCCTTCTTCTGACCATCTTCAAAAGCCAGTGAATCACTTAACTGCCTTCAATAAACATCAGATTTGACATTAAGACTTTAAACTACACTACCTGCATAGTTTATGATAATACATTCCAGTCCTTTGCGCTAGGTGTAGATTTTACATCTGAAGGATATAAGATGTACAAGGATAAAAAGTATATGAGCCGTGCATGTTGATGTCACACAAAGAGGAGATTTTGTTGTAGACCAACAGCAACTCTGAGACACCGCGAAGCCAAATCGTGTTGGCACAGGCCATGAACTAGATGAAGGATACAAAAAGGACAGCCGCTCTTTAAGCCTATGGGCAGCCAATAACTTTGCAAAAGCAAATTACAACAAAACAACTTACCTAAAGTCCCATATAAATTCCTCTGAATTAAACAGCTGTGATTCTCTGGTTCTAGACCTTTTGTTATAAAATGCAGTAAGACTATTTTTAAAAGTTCAGACTTAGAGAAAGTTCATGATCAGAAAAAGACAGCTGCCCTAAGTTGTTCTGTTTTTTACTTGTGTATCTTTTTACTCTTGGCAGTGAAACTGGAAAGCCAGTAGAAGAACCTAACCTCATGAGTGAATGCTAGGAGTAATACAAGATATATGGGAAAAAAAAAAAACCTAACCAAACACTACACCATGATGTCCTTATGCTATTCTTCTTCTAGTAAAACTACATTTTAATAGTTGATAGATTAAAATTCCTGGTTTGCAGTTTACTACAAGTAATTTGAGTCACTGACGAAATAATAAAGGTCAAACCTGAGTAATTAAGTAGCTAGCTACAGTAGGAGTAAATTAAAAACATATTTTTGGTAGAAGAATCCTTTACTGCATCTGAATACTTTTAAACTTCCTCATCACAACAGTCCACATGTACATTTAGTCCCAGTGAGAAAGATTTTATTGGATAGACTTTGTTGTAATCTAGTACGGAATGTCTTATAAAATTGCTGTTTAGTAATTGTTATCTAAAGGGTATTTTAAGTAGACTTTTGTGCTGTGTGGCCAACAGTAACACATGATATGAACAACATGAATCACTTTAATTTAATCTTACAGACACTCCACACTAATAACAAATACACCGGGATCAATACTAATAAGCAAAGTTTAATTACTTTATTCTTGTCACAAATAATCTTCAGATCCTGGAGTAAAAAGCACTTAGGGCTACATCCAATAAAAGAAATAAAGCAGAATTTAGGTGTGTTTGTCAAAAGTTGTGCTATTGGGAGCCTGAAAAACTCTGATTAAATGCTCCTTGGCTTTGAAAGTAGAGATGCTATAACCCACAGCATCAATACCGTCTGAAATCTCTTCATCTCTGTATGTAAAGCAGCATTCATACTGGAATTTCACAGCAGAATAACTTTGGTGATGAAGGCAACCTTGGAAATTTCTTCTCCTC